TACGGCCGGTGATCGTGTGCGTGTCCGGGAGTTTTTATGGGCCGATGTGGTCACCACAACACCTTAAAACCTGCTCTGGCTTCACGAGGGTTAAACCTGCCTGGCAATACACTCTTTCTTTAGGTGAGATTTTACGACCTCTCCCACCAGCGAGGTCCTCCACATGTCAAAACCTCTCAAAAGTGTGTAATCCCCCAGCTGCTCTCTATTAAAACAGCCCCTCTTCAGCCAACACCAATAACAGCCTGTGACACAAGAGTGGAAAAACACACATCTCCGCCAGTGTCATATGAGCAAGAAAGTAAGTCCTGGGCTAATATCGATGGCGGACGTTTGCCAGGGGAGAAAAAAAAAGGCTCCATCTTCGGAGAGGAAATGAGGTAATGAATGAGTGGTACCTTATTTCCTGAAACACCTCCTGTCTTTCTCCAGGGAAGCTGCCCCTCATGCCACCCACAGATGGCTTCAGCAGTCATCTCTGAAAACTCCCCCCTCTCTTCCTTCCCCCCCTCTCAGTGACTAATGAGACTTCCCCAGGATGTTGCTCAAGTTAAGTTACCAGTTAACTAGTCTGAGGGATGGCAGAGGGGGTGAGACACAGAGTGGATTCCCACCGGACGGATGCGTGATGCCCATCCTTCATATCCTGTCCCATTCTGTAGGAAAAAAGGCCCAAATTTTCCCCCTGACGGCATCCCATAATGCACCACAATGCCCCTCTTTCTGCTCTGCACAGCCTCCCCGCTGTCCTCTATGCGTCTCGCTCCCATCATCTCATTTCACCACAATCCATCTTCCTTTGTACTGAGTGACCCCGGCCGTCTGTATGGACGAGGATGTGCATGTGTTCATTTGTCTGAAGTTAGACGCTAACACGCAAGTTTTTCGGTTATACTGAGCCACTTCCTGCCTGTGCCACAGACCACAGGATTTGGCTTGTGTGTCCACGCGATCTGCAGGTGTTTATCTCACGGGATCGGACCCACTGACCGACACACGCCCACTGGCCTGTTCAGAAAAACACACACTACCTATTAAAAAAAGAACTGGACACTGTGGACTTGCGGGTTTGTGGGGGCAACATTTGTGATTAGAGCTCTCAGCAAACTTAAATAAAAACCACGACAAAAAGTTTTTCTCCATAAAAGGCAGCTGGAATCCCCCCCCCCCACACACACACACACGCACACACACACACTCACTATTCGTGTTTACTTATGTAGCAGTTAAATGTTCCACCTCCTCTGAAGTTCTTTTTTTTTCATTGCTGTTACCACTTTTGTTGATGCTTACACTGTGAAAGTCCAATCCAAAAAGAACAGACTTAATGTGCACGAATCAGCAAGTACAGCAAAAAACAAAAAGGAAAGAAAATCAAAGTCCTGAGAGAAACTCACAGACTGCAGAATGCTTGTAAAAAATGAGCCGCTCTTCTCAATGGAGATGCTGCTTTGTTTTATCGTTTTGGGATGGAAATGACAATGAAACGTAATTCAGAGGAGAAAAAAGTACTTTGAGTTGGGGTTTGCCAAATCTGTGTCATGGTGGTGGTTATTCTTGCTGTGGTTATTCAGGAAAACCCTAAAACCGAACAGCTATATTTCCTCATGTGGCCCGTTAAAATGTGATGAACTTTTCCTGATTTTCGGAATTCTTACACACTTATTTCTTCTCTTCTATCTTACTTATTTCGCCAATAGCTTCTTTTTACAAGCCCTTCTCATAAAAACAGCACATGAAAAATGTAAGTACCTTAGATTTCCGCTTCGTGTAGTCAGTTTAAAGTGTTCTTGAAATACGGTGGTAAGCGACTCTTAGTTTACATCTACAGCTTTGTGCTGTAACGCCGCCAGCCTAATGTAGGTCACTGGAGTAACTCAACTCCCCTTTTTTCCACTGGCACAGCTGCACTCGTGATTCCATGAAGGCCGCGGGCAGGATACGGCCATTAGGCAGACGTTCGGCGCCATTGTGTGATCAAAACGCAAATCTGAATGGTCAGATCTCCTGTGTCACACACGGCCCTCACTGATGATGCAGAGGGGAGCAGGTGTGTGTGTGTCTGGGGGGGTTAGTGGGACTTAATCACTTCCCTGGACCAACACAAGCTTCCTAGAGCTGAGAGGAAGCACGTGGTGATGAAGGAGAAGGTCAGACCTGAGAAAATGGGATCTGGCCTCAGACAGAACTTCATAGTTTGGATTAAAAAACACAAACGGTGTGTAAATGTGCAGAGAAGGGGATTGAATGTTGGAGGAAAAAAGGATAGGGAGTCTATCTATATTCTTGTGTGCTTTTGTCCCAGCTGGGCCAGCCGAAATGCCTCAGACCTGCTGGGATTATAAAACCCTTCTCTACCTCGGTTATCCACATCTGGGACAGATGTCAGCAATTAGCCTCATCCCTCTGAGTGTGTCTGTGCCACATAAAGAAAAACGGCCTCAGTTTCTGCCTTTAACGCAGAACCAGCCTGCTGCACGTCTCCTCGCTTTTCGCCCCTCTTTGGGCGCTCTTCAGCTTTTGCCCTCTCAGCATTTCATTGTGTTTTCATGAGCGGCTGCTTCCTCTGACCCAGTGATGAAAGCCCCTCCCATCTTCCTGCTCCGGCAGGAGTTGTCATCATTAACAAAGCCCCCCTGTACACATCCCATTACAAATCAGTATGAAAGTATGAACATCTATCACAGATTATCACAACTAAACATATCCCCATTACTACTGCTGTACTTTATTTTGTACTTCTTCATCTCCAAAAGTTTCTTTTCCTGTCTTTGAGGACCATTTGTGTCCATATACAGGACTGTCTCAGAAAATTAGAATATTGTGATAAAGTTCTTTATTTTCTGTAATGCAATTAAAAATCATGAAATGTCATACATTCTGGATTCATTACAAATCAACTGAAATATCGCAATCCTTTTATTGTTTTAATATAGCTGATTATGGCGTACAGCTGAAGAAAACTCAAAAATCCGATATTCTAATATTTTGAGATAGGATATTTGGGTTTCTTAAGCTGTGAGCCATAATCAGCGATATTAAAACGATAAAAGGCTTGCGATATTTCAGTTGATTTGAAATGAATCCAGAATGTATGACATTTCATGTTTTTTAATTGCATTACAGAAAATAAAGAACTTCATCACAATATTCTAATTTTCTGAGACAGTCTTGTACAATGTTTTCTCTTATGTTTTGGTATTATCTATCCCTCTGTAGAGGTTGGGTCAGGGTAGGTTGACCCCTGTGGTGTCCCTCCTGTGTATCTGACCCCAGTGGGCCCGTGTTCTGCTCACCTCCATGTTGATCTTCCGGTCCGTGGCTCCGTGCGCCCTCAGCTCCCACACCACGGCCAGCAGCAGCAGCCGGACCACCGATTTCAGCTCCGGTGCCATCTCCCCTCTTCCAAGAAGTTTAAAAAAACAAAAAAAAAAACCGCTACCAAAATGTTCTCAAGTCCCTGCAACGGTACGCACAAAATGGGTTCACTTTACGCACAAATGGGTTCACTTTTTTTGGGTCAAAACATTATCTGCTAAGCTTCCCTTTCTGGTGCGCAATTTCAGTTCAGACTGCAAACTCTTTCCCTGGCGTTACTCAAAGAGGCAGAGGCGTTTGTCCAGCCTGTGCATTCTTCTGGGCTTTTGCTGAGGAGGACCCAAAGTACCGGACGGTATCTGAGAGGGGGGGCTCTTTCGTGCGTCCGAATTCAGCCTCGCGCTTCAAGCTCCAGATGTTGCGTCCTACTTCGTTTTTCTGGAGACGGTCAGCTCCTCCTGGCCCCTCTGCTCTGGCCTTCTCCCGGCTGGTTTCTGGTCCCCTCTCCTCTGCCCCTCTCTCCCCTCTGCAGACGTGGTGCTGCGATACTGCCTGTAGAACTTCAGCTGGAAAGTATTGGGCTCTAAGTCAGCACCCCCCCCTCTCTCTCTGAATCAACCCGCCCCCTCTCGGAGGGCTGGAATCAACTTGGTGACCTACAAGACTTGGCACGAGTGAAGTTGGCCTTACCATTAGGGATAAACACAAACTGGCCCTTAAACCCACGACGCTGTTGTTATTGATAGAAACAAAAAAACTCACCAGAGTCAAATATGCGGTTATAACTGAACAAAGCAGTTGTAAAACCAAGTATTTGATACAGCCTATGTCTATATAAGGATCCTCAGAAACCAGCCGGCAAATATGGCTGATTAGTTGATTAAGTCACATCCAAACAAACACATGCTTTATTTCTTGGTCTCTGGCTTTTGAAGTCTAATTGAATTAGATTAAGTCATTATCAGGTTAGTTCAGCACTTGCGAGGTGTTTTTAAAAAATTTTTTATTCTAGATTATGTTTCTAGATGGCCGATATGCTGCTCACAAATACCTCCCAGCAATGTCTAGAGAGGGAAAATTGCGCCCTCTAATGCGCGCACTGTGCCCAGTTTTCCGTTGGAATGTCCATAAATCAGTTTTCATGATTTATTTCTTTTTCTGCGGACAGAGGGATGGTTTGGGGAACAAAGTCCTGGTTATTGCATAGTGTTCTCATTGATAGATTTCTGGCTGATGGAAATGTGTCACTTTGCATGTATAAAGGTGGTTACACCCAATTTACTCCTCCCCTGAAGGAGTAACGCCAAGGGATAAATAAAGTTGAATCTAAGTCTAAGTCTAATTTCAGCCAAATTTGTGCATAGTGGTGTCATAGAACAGAGGCCAGGCTTTTCTCCTACAGTCTTCATAACTAACCAAACTCGTTTGGGAGACACAGAGACATGGTAGTCTTTCTTTACTTTCTTTACTTGTGCTGTCAGGCTATCGTTTCTGTAAGTTCCCAGTTTGATTCCAGCTGTAGAAGTATAGATATCTGTGACTTAATGACAATGTTTTATAATACAGGTTTAATGCTCATTAGATCATTAAGGTTTGGATTCATTAAGGTGATTGTTTTTCTTTTTTTTCTTTTTTCCTATTATATTTGATCAACTCAAATAATTTAGAAAAGCTTTGCACATTGTATTTTTTCTCCAAAGAGCTTTTTAATATGGAGAAAGTACATCTTACAACAAACAGACAGAGACTTGTTTTTTTTTTGTTTAGATACTTATAAACGTAAAAGTTTAGTAAAGTTAGTAACTGCAAATGCGTTATAGACGTTACTCTTAGACCTCACGACAACAATTAGGATAATAATGTTTACAAAGCTGAAGGGCAAAGGTCACACAACGAATCGTGCCCTTACTGGGCTCACAAACACTGCAGATGTGCTTCTGTTTTGACAGGACAGAACAGCAATGAAAGAAAATCACAATGACATCAACGGTACGTTTTTTAGAATCACAAAACGTGGGGATCAAAGACTTAATATTCCCCCGAATTAACACAATCCTGTCGTTGGCTTTTGTTCATTCTCATACGGCAAAATAATGCAGTTTTGCTTATTTATTGACCTTATTCATATCAATAGAAAGAATCGTCTAGATATGAAGCAAACAGGGATTGTAGGCTAGCGTTTGGTTTTACTAAACCTCCTTTGGTGCCATTTGGTTGAGATTAGTACATGGCACAACAGCACCGAAATAAAAACAAAGTTACATTAAATCGGTTAGTTAAAAATTAGTTGTTGTTTTTTTCAGTTCTCTTTGATGAGCCATTAAGAAGCTGATTATATATTCAGAGCCTGCTGGTGAGTTCCGACAAACACAAAGCATTACTTCACCCATATCTCATTATTGTCTTTTTTTTTCAAACAAATTCAGTAATAGCTGGACTTTTTTTGTACAGTAGTTGTCTCTTTTTTTTGTTTTTTTTACACAACAGGACCAAACTAAACGAATCACAACTTTCACATACAAACATGTTACTGTGATTATCAAACTGACAGGCTACCCGAAATGTGCCATGGAAGCAATACTATGCAAATGCCAGACGTTTGTGCTAAAAGGCCAACAAATGTTGAAAACAAGAAGATGTTTTCCAGCCAGTTGTGCTGACATTACGACCCTTCACCTGACTCCTCCACAGCCTCCTCAAAGTTTCTTGAATCCACCTGCAGACGACCGAGGGATTTAGCAGCCGGGGCTGAATCGTTTTCACCCTGCGCTGCAGCACTTGGGTCACCGGCCGCCTCCGTATTGGTGTTGAGGAAGGCTTGATACTGGTTCCAGAAACTTGCTGAACTCCTGGTTGCTGGAATGTTTGAGGAGCTCGCATTTGTAGAAGACTGTTGTTGCTCGGAGGAAGAACGACTGCTCCTGGCAGGTGGCCGGGACGTTTTGGTGGCCACACCGTGGTGCTTCATGTGCCCCTGGAGATGAATACGTTTAGAACTTTTTTAGAAAATATTTCTAGTAACTGATGACTTAGAATATTCTTTGCATAATGCAATGCACAACAAAATCAAATAGAGGTTTAGATCAACATAAAAGCTGAACATGTATGGTTCTCCTTTAAGCCTCATACTGCAAAATATGTCAACCCACAGTTATTTCTGACTATGATCAATGAAAATAATTATCCTTATATTGAACATTTTTCCAAATTCCTATTGTTCAGGCTTATTGGACCTATGAAGCAGTTGACATTCTACGTAAGATAGTAACACATTTTTTACTATGAGAGTGCTTGCTGACCTTCAATCCACTGCGGCTGGCGTACTCTTTTCCACACTCGGCACAGCAGTAGGTCTTTTTCTCTGGTCGTGACATTGGAGATGGGAGGGTGGGAGCCAAGCTGATGGGCACAGAGGCATCAAGAGCTTCGCTTGAAACCAATTCACTAATCTTGATGCCCTCTACTTGATCATCCCTCCCATATGAGCTGAAATGAAAGCTCTGACGCGTCTCGCGAACGGAGGCGGGTGCTTTCTGGGATCCAGCACGTATTTCGGCTGCTATGTGGTCTGCAATATCCACGGTGAGTGTAATGTTAGGGTCTTCCTCAGACACAGTTACTTGGTCTTGTTCTGCTGTTGTGGGTAGAGGAGACTGGTCTTTGTCTACTTCCATGGGTTCTGGGGATGGTAGCCTTAGGGAGACTGAGTCTGACTCCAAGGTTGCATTTGTATCAACATCACAAACATCTGGATTTGGGATAGAGTCAGAGTTGGAACTGGGACAATTGTAAGCAATGGGCGTATTAAGAGTAGGCGTGCTTTCTAAGTCCTCAAGGTTTGGTTTGGAGCTGAGGAAGGAATCCGAGGTGGTCGATGCCTCAGTTGCTCCACAGTCCACTAATTTAAGGAAAGGAGACTCTGTGGCTTTGTTAACACTGGAGGGAAGGGGGGACGGATTAGACTTAGGAATGTTGATATCAGCTGAGGCTTGTTGGTGAACATGGTCGTCTTGTTGAGTTATCTGCTTGGAGGCTGTCAAAGGGACACTAACAGAAAGGACAGGGGGCTCTGCACTGCCCGGTGGTGGAGTTTGTGTGGTAGGATTCATGAAGGGGTCAGGGCTTAGGTCAGCAGGGGGGATTGGGTTTGGACTGGAAGGTGCAGACAAGCTCAGACTTTGCTCAGCCAATGTCATGCTTCCTGAGACGGCAGCCAAATCAGCTGGCAAAGTCTCTGAGCTTGGACCTGGGCTGTTAGAACCACCGCTCTTAGGAGTTGTTTTACTCGGGGCCACATTTAGGTCTGTGGACTGGGACTGAGACTGCAACGTGGATTTGGGATTAGACTCAGCTGGCAATTCGTGTTCAGACTCTTCAGTGCTATCTGGGGGCAACTGTCCTCCGAGGTGCATACGAATGTGGTGCTGAAGAACGAGAGCATTGGTGAACTTCCGCTGGCACAGGGGGCAAGAGTTTTGGACACGAGCATTAGGTGGCCGGGCGTGATGGGTTGCAAGATGTGACCGCAGGCTGCCTTTAGTGGAGAATGATCGTCCACAGATCTTACATGGAAACGGGCGTTCTCCTAGGTGTGTGGCCTGGTGCAGGCGGAGTGCTCTAGGACAGCTCAGCACCCGTAGGCACACCCCACACTGATTAGTGATCAAATTAGAAGCCGGACCTGCCATGGCACTTGCTCCATTGGCACTCAGTCCGAGGGCAGCAACCATCTCACGGGTGAAGTGGGAGATAGAGGTGGTGACAAGGTTTGAGGATGGGGATGTCATTACATATGTGGCAGATGTGCCTGCGTTTGTGAGACGACTGGTGGTTGAATTTACTGAAGAGGTAGCGGAGCTGCTGGATAGAATCTCCAGCATGGAAGTGGGAGCAGAGAAGGAAGCCCATGAAGAAGAGTTCGGAGGAGCCTTCTCTAGTTTTTCCACAAGTCTCTGTAGCTTTGAGGTTTCAGATGTAGGGGTAGCCGTAGTTACAGAGGAGGGCAAGGAGTTTGAAGTGGTGGTTGAGCCTGGGACTTTAGGAAAGGGAGAAACAGGGAAGGAAAGCTGCGATTGGCTGGAAGAAGCATGTTGGTGGGAGCCTGCAGCTGCGGGTAGCTGGGCCCGGAGCAAGCTCAATGCTGGATGGTTGTATAGGGATGAGTTTGCAGCCTGGGAAGAAGAGGAAGAAGAGGCAGATGGGAAAAGAAGCTTAGGTAGGTGAACTAGCTGGGAATAAGCTGCAGGAGACAGCATTGGTGGATGAGGAGGGGTGTTTTCATCAAAGTGTTGCTGTTTGGCGCCTTTGAATAACCCTGCGATGGGGGCGGATGAAGAAAATGAAGGGTTGGAGAGTAAGGATGCAGCCAGAGAAGAAGTGGAGGATGACTGGGATGAGCAGGAGGATACAGAGGATGCAGCAGTAGCCCTATTTAGCTGCAAGAGAGAGTGAGAAATCAAAGCTAGATCTACACTAGGAGGCAGAGGAAGGGTGGAAGGGGTAGATCCTCCAGATGTCCCTAAAGATAGTCCGCTACTAGTTGTACTGGCCTCTACATTATCTCCACACGTTTCATCCTCCACTCTATTTTTTTGCTTCTTCTGTGCAATATTCATGCCAATGGCACTACTTCCAGTGTTAATGATCTGTCCCATTTCTGGCCCTCCAGCAGCCCCTAACGCAACCCCGAACAAAGACGGCGGGAGAAGTGAAAGCGAGAGCTCTGGGTTTTGCTCACGGTGGCGAAGGAAGTGTACCTTCAGGTTGCCCCGTGTGGTGAAACGACTGAGGCACACTGGACACTGGTAGGGCCGTTCCCCTGTGTGTGAACGGAGGTGTATCTGCAGGGCAGAATCACTGCTGAATACTTTTCCGCAAAAGCGACATGCGTGCTGAAGGCGGCTGTTGGCATTGGAGCTACATGAAGTGTAGGAGTCCCCTCCACCTGATGAGGACTGCAGGGTGCGTTGTGCATTTAGTGATGAGTTCAAAAAAGCAAGATCACTCTGGCCACTAGCTGAAGTGGTGTTAGCAGACTTATCGTGAACGTAGGGATTGGGTAGAGGTAATGAAAGAGCCAGAGGATAGTTTGAGGAAGCCGCAGAGATTGCCGCAGAGGAATTGGAGAGGCGAGAGGAGCACTGAGAGGTTTCCCACTGATAACCACGAGTCCCTGCAGTCCCTCCAATTTCTTCCATTTGTGAATTGTGAGGCTGTAGGATTTGTGATAATGGAGTACATGGCTGTGTGAGTTTGTTGGTTGTCTGAGAGGGTAGCAGGGAGGAGAAACACGCCAGAAGAGGAGCCACAGAGGTGGAAGGCTGAGATTCAGCCGGCTGGGTTACGGGGCTTGATGCCCTCTTGCTAGCTTCCAGACAGAGCTGAGGGAGTGGAGGAAGGAGATGCTGAGACTGTGTATCTGTGCTGTAGGAGGCTCCACCAAGGCGTAAAACTTGCCTACAGATCTCCTCGGTTATTTGCATCTGGTGGATCTGTCTTTGCTGCAGCACACGGAGCTCCTCAAGGATCAGGGCAATACTCAGCTGGGTTCTGACAGGTGCGGCTGAGGCAGATGTTACTCCTGGACTTGGGGTGGGAGTAACGGGACTTGGAGGGCCCTCGGGCACCCGACTGGGGCTTCCAGGATGAGGTGGAGGACACAGAGAGGCTGAGGATGATGAGGAAGAAGAGGAGGTGGTTGTGGTGGCTGACAGCCCTAACTTGGGAGAAGCCATGTATGCACTTCAGGGGGTAGCAGATCAGAGAGCTGGCATTAGATGTAGACTGGATTTAATGTTTTGGAAGATTGAGATAATTCAGGATAGGGAGGGGTCTGTGAGTCTTTAAGTGGATGCCAAGAAGGCTGGGTTTTTGAAAAAGGTAGGAATAAACCCTCTGAGGGTCAAGCCCTTGAGCAGAGATCAGAGAGCTGCTGTAACCTTGGACGAGAAGATAGCGGATCTGTGATAACTGAGGAATCTGACTTTACAGCCAAGTTGTTATCTGAGAAAACATAAGAGAAAAAAGTACATATTAAGTTAAGCAAATTATTTTGAATTCCACATGACTAGTAACTGTAGTAACAAAGTGCTTTCACACACACACACACACGCTTGCACACAGATTCATAGGCAAAAGACCTACTAAAAGACTCAGTGGTCTGCGAAAACACACTGCTTACGCACAGAGTAGTCTCCTTGTTTCCTGGGTAACAAAAAAGACAATGGCCTCTGCTCCCGACCCCCTACCCCCCCATGCCCATGAAAAGAAGCCACATCCCTCGTCCTTTAATAATCTCTGCCTGTTTAACTTTCGCCCCTGCCTTGGTAGCCCAATGGAGCGTTTAGACTAATTTCCAGGGCGCTGTGCTAGGCGCCCGATTATCTTGTAGAAATGTATTTAAACACTTGCAATACGGTTTAAGGACAGGCAGCAGAAGAAGGGTGACGTGCAAAGAAAACAAACAGAGCAGTTGAGAGACAGGATGACTCATAGATCCACTGACAAGCTCACTTGGCCTGGGAACGCATAGCGAGACAGGTGGAAACGATCACAGAGCATTACTCTTCAATAAGCAACACACTACTGCTCCGGCACTCAAAAACTCAACCTGAATCCAATTCTGTTTGCTTGAAAGCTGCAATTTCATGACTCAGGGTTGTCCCTATCCTTACAACTAAAGTGAAAAACACAGAAACACACAGCTATGATGTACACACGTTGTACACAGTTCCTTTATGAGCAGGCAACAAAACTAAAAAGGGACAGTTGGAGTTAATAATATTGAAGTTAAAAATACATATTAAATTACTACGTTTTATGTGCTATTTTTCAGATCGATGATGTATTTTGCTCCAATATTCCTGTGTGAATTTCAAGTATATCTTTGAATCTGGAAGTTGCCTTACAGTTTAAAAATTCCTCAACCACCACTGATCTTTTTATGTTTCCATGAAAATGTGTGCAGCAATTTCCAAATACTCTAGAACATGAACACAAATACATCATATTAGGAAAAAGCATCGGTTGTACAATTTTAACAAGATTGATAGTTAACATTAATCATGACCACTAATTGTGCAACACAGCCTAAACCTCCTTGGCTGTGCTTTCTGGTCGTGTCTTTAATGCACCTAAACATATCATTAACCAACTCGGCTTTTGCGTTGTAAACCTAGTCCGACCGCCAAAGCAGCATTCTTACGAGCCTCCCCATGCTCCAGCATCCAACACGCTGGAGGGCCGCGCTCATATGCTGCTCGGCTAGTTTCTGACTCCAGCCGGACATGCGTCCGCAGGACGGTCTGAAGCCCACAGGCCAATGCAAAACCTTTATTATGTCTCCCTGCATGCTGAAAAAGCAGGCATCCAAGTTACTTGGATGTAGAAAAAGGAAGAAAAAAAAGACTACCCTATATTTTCCAAAACCAATCCACAGGGTGATTTGGTGCTATTAGACCGTGTAAACTGCGACCACATTGGCCGGTTTGTGGTGCAAAGAAATGTACAGAAAAGCCAAAGAGGCGTGTGTGACAGACTATTCTTAAAACACACAGTCACCCCTCATTCTCCACACACACACACAGGCTCACTGTGTCCATCCACTTGACTGCTTTGCATTCAAATGGTGAGTGAACACCCAGTCTTTTGAGCCAGGACTCCACAACTAGTCATTACTAAACCATTATAAATTGAAGGAGACTCATCTGCATCACATCTCAGCCCTTGTGTGAGCTTCCAATTATTGATGAGTAGAACTGAAACCTCCATGCAACGCCTTTCAACCAAAACCTGCTTCCCTCACAAGAATACATTTTCATTCATCTATTCTTACTTTTTTAAGATGTGCCTTACTCGTACCATTTCAAAGCTATTCAGGGTGCATGTGGTCAACTAAAGCCTCTCACAGAGAGACCGGGGTGAGCTCGACAGGCAGAGGCTCTGAAATGAGGAGGAATTTGCAACAATGGCGTTGAGGGAGCACAGCTGAGTGAACATCACCCTCTCGGAGCCTCTCCAGCACATAAGGCCGCTGACAGGCGGCACAATGCCCCCCTTTCAGCCGCATCCCGACCGCTGACCACGTGGAGCGAAAGGTAGTGAAAGAAAAGGAGGACTGGGCCGGAGAGAGGAGTATTTTCTTTTTCTTTTTTTTAAATTTATTTATCCGGGCCTTCTGGCACCCCCCCCCCCCACCCCCACTGCTGTCTACCTCCATGGATCTGAACAGAATGATAAATGTAAAGTCCAACCGGCCCAAAGCAGCTTACAAATACTGGAAAACCGTCTGAATGACTCCCATCGCCTGGTTTTTCCTTTTGTTTTGAAGTGTCAATCATCTATTTGTTTAAGTCCGAAACACACAGTTAACATCTCCATTGGGCCTAAAATAGGGACTAGTCTATTTAAACCTTAAATCCGGAATAAACGAACAGCTAATAAAAGCTGGGACCGAACGTCTCCGTCTCATCCGCGGTCGCGTTTAGTCAAAGTAAAGCGACTCTGAACTAACACGGATAAAGACTAAATGTTCGACTAAATGGTCGCTTTTAAAGCTGAATTCCGACGTGCCAACAAGGCGTCCGCCTTTGCCGTGCCATTTTGTCAGTTTGCTCTCGCCCGGTTGTCTTTTTCTTTCTCTTTTTTGGCGCCTGTGTTTTGGAAACCAGCGGCCGGGAGATGCGCGTGCCCGCTACTGTACGGCGACCTGTTGAACGCCACGCGCGCTCCCCCCCACATCATAACAAGTTATGATTCATAAAATATTACGAGTCCGCCGGAAAAAACAGTCCCGGATGTGCATTTCCGCCTCGCGCCGCTCGTTCGCGGGCCACAATTGCTCGAAAGGTAACGCGAAAAAACAACTTACCATGTTGAAAGCGATGCTTTATGGTAGCGATATTGTGGAATGACAAACAAAAAAAAGGGAGGGAGGGGGGGGCTGTGATGGGCTCCGTCTCTCGGCCGGGACGCTGCGCAGCTCTCCCCGTTTCCCTCCCGGTGATGCGCAGGCGGACCGCGGCTCGGTCTCCTCCGCTCCCCCTCTCTTTTTTTTAATGATTTATCTCCGTCGCGAAATACCTTTCACTCCCCTCATGACAAAGCTTTATTGTGCCTGGATGTATTTACTCATAGTCCGGTGACCGTGGCGGAGGTTGCTACGCACGCTCGGGCTTAAAGGGGAGGTTTATCTTTTCCCTTTTTTTTCCTTTTTTTTTTTTGGCAGTACGTTTGTCTGAGGCCTGTTCCTGTTCGGCTCGCCTGCGCGCGCTGCGGTGCTATCTGTCTGTCCCTCTTTTTGTCCTTCTGTCTTTGTCCCTATGTCTGTTTTTCTGTCTGTCCCTCTGTGTCTTATAATTAATGAGCCCTGGCTTCATCCCGGAAAACAACGACTGTAGCCTTTCCCACTGACTGACTCAAGTGTGTAATTTACAGAGAATAAACCGTCAATGAATAAAAAAAACAAAAAAAAAACAAACATCTGATCTGAAGTTTAAAAAAAAAATTAAACTCCTGTTGTGGACTTTAAATGCACACACACGCACAGTGTCCATTCAGACGACTTTTCTTCAGGTTATTTTGATATAATTAAAAAAAAAGCTAAGGTATGCAACAGCAGGTAAAGTATCTTTGTCCTGCTTTTCAATAAGCCATCTGACTGTCACATCTATAGGCCAATTTGCCAAATACACATGAATGACTCCCCAACATGTTCTTTGTGGTTTGTGTCCTACAACAGTGTTCCACCAGGTGTCAGTCTGTGACAAAAAAATTAGTTTTTGGAGAGAGCTGCAAAAGGCCACACGTTTTGATATAGCCACTTTAAAAAAAATATATATATGTCTGGTGAGTTAAGTGGTTTTATAATATATGATTTCGATTTTAGGCCCCTTCCAAATTAGACAACAATCCCAAAACCTAATTACCATCTTTGTATTCACACAACATAACAGACAACACAACTTTTTTTTAACTTGTTGCTGCAATATGAGACAATAAATAAGTCCGGACAGGCGAAGCGAAACGCACAAAAAATGCTAAAAAGAAAAAAGGAGGATCTTAAAGAGGAAGAGTGTGAAGAAAAGAAAGACAGAGCCATTAAGGCTAAGGAAAGATGGACTGCCAATTTATGACTCTTGACTAGTTTATAGCTGAACTCACATTGATTTTACTCTTAAAACTAACCGTCAGCTTTATTGTTTAAGTTAAATATTAAATTAAGGTGTTTTTTATGCACGTTTCTCTTAATTTCAGCTTTTCATGTGAACTATTCCTGCTTTCCTCCAGCTCTAAAGGATAAAGCATTTGCTTTCTTTTGACATTCAAAAGCTGACTTTTTTTTATTATTCCAATAATATAAGTGATTTGGATGAGTGATGTGTATGAGGTTTTTCTTGCTGATGTATTTATCTGCATTGTTCTGGTGTTAAAGTTCACATTTGAGATGTAACAGAAATGTTTCCAGGACAAAACCCCTTAGATTCGGCCTTGCTTCCTTTACGGTGCAGCTGCACAACCTTGAGGCTCTGCGCACCTGTTTCCACCTGCCGAAGTCCACTTCATTTTAAGTTCAAGGGCTTGTATTTTCTTGGTTCTGAAAGAAAAAGATTAACAATCCATTGCATCTTCAGCATTTTCATTGGAAAAAAAACACAAAAACACTAGCAGCTATAGACACTGGCGTCGGCTTCAATGCTCCTACACACACCATGAAATGGAATACACAAGAAATGTACCTCTGAACCCAAAGAAAAGCTCTGAGAAAAGCCTTGTAACCCTGCAAAGAACATGAGGAGTCCTTCAGGTAAACTCTGTTGGTTGTTATTTCATTTGAAAGCTGCAAAATCATAAATGTTACTTTGGTAACGCGTCTTGTGCGTTTTTTTTTAAAGATGATCTTTGTCTTTTCACCGTCAAACACATGTACGGTGGGTTGTGTTGACTTTGAATTGACAGTGAGTGGGACAGTTGTTTCCAGCAGGTCCTATTAGAAGATGGAGTTTTCGTTACTATAAACACAAGAGAGCTGATCAGGAGTCAAAGGATGATTTTGGCGCCTTCGGGGCTAATGGCATGCCCCTCGCTGCCCCTCCCCTCCCAAGAAGGTGACCTGTCAGGGTGCGGTGAATCCTTTGGGATTAGCCGGCACACTGACCTCACGCTGCCCACGCACCCACCGATGGCAGCAGCCCGCAGGCACCAGATCACCAGCAGGTAAGGAAGGGCACTGCCTCGCTTCTCTCATCAAACAGACAATGGGATTCAGACTGAGGTGAAATACATAAAACCAGAGCACATGTTGGGTAATAAAGGGCAGCGAGGCGTCAGGGATGATCTCCTGATCCCTCCACTGTGACAGCTTGTGTCCGAGAGGCTAATGCTCATCTGGGGTCAGTGTTACAGTCTCTTTACACTTCCATTTGCAGACAGAAATAGCAGTTTTCTTTAACTACTCGTCATTTGTTTTGCTCTCTGTTATGTAGGAGAAGTTTGACGGCCTCTTAAACTGGAAGGCACTCGTCATCAGTCAAGCAGTCAAGGGGGATTTTTATCAAACGTGCTCTAAAGTTGAGGCAGTTTTTTTTAGGGTTGATGTATTTCCTGAATTCATATCACAAAATGCGGTGTTTCCCCCTGTTTTCCAAGTAAGATTTGTTATGCTGTTAAGTATTCTATTCTTAGTGCACAGTGGGCAAAAGCCCAGTAGACAGGATTAATGGCCTCAGGCAACAGTTGGAGTGAAATAAGGGCTTTCCTCTTGTCCCGAGCTCAGTCCTGGCTTAGGGCATTAGCATTTTGCAGAAGCCGCCTTTCGTTTGGTGCTGCAGAGATCTCCGAATGGGTAGGATACGTTCACTGGGCTACGAGTCCTTTTTACTCGGTTCTCTGTGTATTTGAAATGCCATTTCTCTGTCTCACGCGAACCCACCGGTCACTCAGCAGTTCTGATTGAGGAGCGTCAGGTGAGCGTCATGGCGTCGGTGGAAGAGGAGCTGACCTGCTCCGTGTGCCGGGACAGCTTCAGCCAGGCCCACCCGCTGCCCTGCGGCCACAGCTTCTGCCCCGCCTGCGTGCGCGAGGCCTGGAGCGGCCAGGAGGAGGCCAAGGGCCGTTTTAACTGCCCCCAGTGTCTGGAGGAGCACGGCGAGGTGGTGTGCGACTGCTGCCCCTCGGAGGCCGGCCATGGCCAGCCCTCGCCGGCGGTCAAGACCTGCCTCCGGTGCGAGGTGTCTCTGTGCGCCGGCCACCTGCAGCCCCACCTGGAGAGGCCGGCCTTCAGCAGCCACCTGCTGGTGGACCCGCTGGGGGACATATCCAAGCGGCGGTGTCAGAGGCACTCGGAGGTTTTCCGCTACTACTGCGTGGACGAGAGGGCCTACCTGTGCGGGGACTGCCTGCTGGAGGGAAGCCACGCTCAGCACAAAGTGAAAGCACTCAGACAGGTGGAAGAGGACCTGAAGGTGAGCCCGGCGGGTGGGGAATTAACATCTGTCTTTCTGTTTTCACAGCCTGGTGATTAGCGTTTTTTTTGTGTTTTTTTTTTCACAGGTCATTCTCAAGACGCTACTCACCAAAGCAGAGAAGAAACTAATAGATGGGGAACGGATTCTCAAAGAGCATGAGAACATTGATTCCACCATGTCTGTGAGTGAAAACATCAGATCTGTGCAAAAAAGAGGTTATATTGAGTTGATTTTTATACCTCTGCATCACTCTAACAACTAAAAAAACAAAGAAAGGATGGATTTATGACAAAAAATAATGTGATTGAGACTCAGTTGTAACCCAACTCCGGGTTCCAGGGCTCTCTGAAGCAGGACGATGGCCAGGTGGAGCGGCTGGACTCAGACCTGCAGCTCCAGGTGAAGAAGCTGGTGGTGGCCTTGAGAGAGATCACCAAGAGGGAGCGGCAGCAGCTCATACAGCGCGTGCACCAGGACTGCGCCAAAGTGAGGGAGGACCTGAGCCAGACGGTGCACATCCAGCACTACCTGACCTTCCTGCTGGCGGAGACTGACCCCTTCCTGCTCATCTGGGTAGGACCCACTGCACAACTCTGTGGGGCCGGTTGTGTAGCAAACTCTCAACACAAAACAGAACACGGCAGATATTCAGTTATAAGATGGATTGAGTTGCAGCATTTTGTGATAATAGTACAATACTTTCAGGTTGATTCAAAATGGCTGCTTAAATTGTTCGGGGTTCATTCCCTGCTGATTCATTGACCCTGCCCAGGAAAATTAGGCAGTGTGATGCCCTAATGATGTATGAGTAGCTTTAGAATTCTAGAGTTTGAGAGTTCATGTGTCCAATGGTTCCATGGGGGTCTATCTTAAGAGTAAATATATTTCCAAAAATCCTGTTAAAAATGTGTTGCCCTCTCCCTTATTTGGCCATTTAAAGGGGAATTATCCATTAAAACCTCTTCTTAAAGGTTGGCATGCAAGATGTAATTGTACCAAGATGTGGTCATTCCCATTTTTCATTGTTTCCTACGACACTGCTTTTCATCTTTACGCCTTGGGAGCCAAAGCCCTGCATGTTTTAGATGCTTCTCTCTGAATTTGGATGTATTAGCACTCAGCCGGACCTACTCAGCCCCTATGGAGCCCCTGACTGAGTAGGTGCTGAAGTTTAGTGGGGCCAGCGTGGAATGATGACAACAATTTAATGTTCCCCTATACACAAGTTTTAACGAATGTTGCATCGAATTAATGTAATCTTGTAGCATCAATGTGATAAGAAATTACTATTTGCCAAGCGTTATTTTTTTGTCATTGATTCTAAACCTTGCTTTTTAACTTGTGTAAAGTATTGAAGTATCGTTCAGCTGCACAAGGAGAAATGCTAATCGTTTTGTGACTATTTTATGACATGTTTCTCTCTGCTGTCCTTCACCGTTCTCTCCCTAGGCCTTTCAGTCAGATGACACAAAGTAAGTCTGAAAAATGCTGGGAGATTGAATTCAGTCACGGTCGAAGCTATAATTTGTATCTTCAGATGTTCAGACAAAGAAGAGTAGTCATGTAAAAGCCAGACACACAGACAGATCCCACTAGAGAAGACATTTCCTTTAAAAAAAAAGTTCTCATTTCAGTTAGTTATTGTAACGCCACACAATTTTTTTTTATTTTTTGTGTTTCAGGTTGTTAGCTGACTTGAACTGCCCGCTTTTCACCCCTGATCCCATCAGTATGGACAGGAAACACATCCTGGAAGATATAGAGAGCAAATACCGGGAGTTCATCACTGCCACTCTTCGCTGCCTCACCGATCTCAAGAGGGAGCTCTGTGAGTTCCACATTTCACCTGTCGGTGACACTAGCACCCTCTTGATTGAGGGAAATATCTTCCTTCTTGTGAAAAAAACGTTAAAAACTGGTTGGCTAAATGTGGGATGCATAGCATAACCCCATCCACCCACTGCCTCTCTCCCCTCTGGCCCTGCAGTGACCAGTCCTCTGACTCTGGACACGAACACGGCCCACCCTCTGCTGAGCATCTCCGATGACCTGCGCTCAGTCACGCGGGTTAAAGGCCGCCTGCCCTGCGCCGCCCACCCGGAGCGTTTTGACCACTGGCCACAGGTTCTCACCGTCCAGACCTTGAGCTCAGGGACTCACTTCTGGGAGCTGGAGGCTGAGGGCTTCTGGGATATCGCAGTGTGCTACAGAAGCATCGGACGAAAGGGGAAGGAGGCAAACGCTTTCGGGAACAACAAGGTAAAGCCCTCTGACTCACTAACACCTTCTGTCACCAGTCTTGTTGCCTTAAGCCTGAATACCGGGAGGGGGTGTGAGGGAGTCTAGTTTCCTCTTAGGCCTCACACACTGAAATATGTTTATTTTAAGATTTTAGACTTTCTGCTTAAAGATTACAAAAAGATTACTTTCTATTCCAATGTCAAGCGAGTTGGATTTGTGAATTATGGGAGGAATTGTCTTTTTATTTTTATTCTCTTTAAAGCTATGGCCCCGCTCAGGAGAAGGTTTGTTTTGGTCCAGGCTGAGCATAAAAAGGTTGCCTCGACTGGTTTTCCATTTGAACTCTCAATTGGAAAATCTGTCAAAGGAGTAAGAGTTTATTTAGATTCTTTGTGTGTCCCTGACCTTCCCCGTAATACTTCGCAATTTTCAGTGAAATTCTTCTGTGACACAGATATACACAACCATCTCAGAAATGACAGCACTGATTTCTGGGTTAAATAACAGCCGTGTAGCGTAAAATTCTAAAGACACGTAACAGCCTACATGTCCTTGTTAAGCACTAGGTTTTTACAATGCAGGTCTCAGGTGGAGGTCATTTTTGAGAGTGATTCTCCCTCTCAGTTTTGATGAAGATTGGTTTAACCATCAGGTGTCGTGGAGTTTGACGCAGCAACACGACAAAAAGCTGGCAGCCTGGCACAACCGCAGGAAGACCCGCCTCACATATCAAATGACGGGCAACAGGGTCGCGGTCGCCGTGGACTACAGGGCGGGGACCATCACCTTCTCAGAAGTGGGGCCGTCCAACAGCCTGATCCACCTCCACACCTTCTCCACCCACTTCACCCAGCCGGTGTGCCTGGGCTTCGGACTCTACAAAGCTGAGCTCAACAGTCGCATCTCCATTGTCAAAGTCTGAGGTGGGGGACCGAAAGACAATTGGAGCAAATGTGCTCTGTCTCTGGGATGCACTTGTCCAGGGTTCATAGCTGTGAGCTCTCCTTTTCTTTCATCTCAGCAAAGAGCAATTCTGTGTCTCGGACTGATATTGAACTTCAAATTAATTAAAAAAATAGAGCACTGGGAATTTGACGCATATGCATGAAATGCTTTGGTCGATTTTAAAAATGGAAAGAAATCTGTTTTGTTATGTCCTTCCACCCATGCCACTTACAGAAACAGTCTTTCTGTAATCTTTTAAATCTAAATCTCATCCCACCTTTCATGTCCACCTGGGTTGCATTTTTGGGTACATCCCTGTTTCTCAGAGTAGACACGCATGTAGAAAATTTACATTAGGCTTTTTATGTGTTCCCAAAGGCACGATGTGAAATGTCAGTAGGCCAAAAATTCTTAGGCCCTTCTTAATTACCTGTGAATTTGTTGTAAAAATCATGTACAAACAGAAATACCTGGTTCCATTAAGCACAGAAAAACACACACACAAATAAAGGAGTACAAGCAACAAGCTGGAGCTTTTGATCCTTTCTAACTGACTTTGAGTACACATGAGAAGGTTGCTGTTTTCACTGGAAATTACAGAAGAAAGGGAAACAACTGCCACTCACTTGCTAACTTTGCTCTTTGAAGCCGCTCGGATACCCAATTATTTTTCTTGGTTTCACTCTAAAGGTGAGTGGGTGGATGCGGTGTGGCTGGTGAGAAAGAAGCAGACGGAGAAGGGGGTGGCTGGGAGAGAGGATACACAGGGAGAGAGACAGGAGGATCAGAGCTCACTCTGGATTGGTTGTGATCGGCTTGACTGCCGTGGTGTAAAACAAGACGACAGAAGAGCAGAGGAACAGGGATTTCGCGACTTCGGCTGCGGAAGGAGCGCAATTGTTTTCATCTGATTTCACACACACGATTGCTCAAGAGGAAACAGGTGATAAACCACTTATTGTTTACTTTCTAGCAAATAGTTACATCATTTTGGAGCGCTAATTTGATATGGAATGACAGTTGTTGTTGTTTTGTTTTGTTTTTGTCCAGCTGAGATGATCCTGTCTTGGTTTTGTGGTTTTATGGTTGTTGTTTTAAAGCTGGAAACTAGAATTGAGGGTTGGATCCCAAAATATTTCGTCTTAGGGAGTTAAAAAAAGAAGAGAGGCTGCTATGGCTGCAAAGAAAACCAAGTCAAAAGGAAAAAAATTGCTCTTTTTAATGCGTGCTTGTTGCAAAGGTTTGTGAAAATGTGATACCAAAACCCAACTGTGCGTTTGGGAGCGTGTGTTGAAGTTGGGGGAGGGATGGAGGAGGAGGAGGAGGAGGAGGGGGGGTTCTTGTAAAAGACAGATGGTAACTCAGTGGAATTGTTCCCCTACTCCATCTCTCCTCCTTGCTCCCTTCTGAGTCCTGCATCCTTCCCCCTGTCATCTTTCCAGAATCCTACCTTATCTGTTTTTTTCCCTCTCCCTGTACATCCTTCTCTCCTTTGCTCAGATTTGCTCTCTTTCTTCCCCTCCCAACTTCAACTCTGCAACCTTGTCTTCAATTTTTTTCCGAGAAAATCGACTTGCAAAAACCAGGAGATTTTTTTTCCCTTTCTTTCTGCTGTGCTTTTGGTTGTCATTCAGGACCCTGCTGAGTCTGCACATTCAGGCTGCGTTTGGGGATTTGTAAGAGCAAACAAGAAAACTGGAGAGACAAACAAAAAGCTTGATTGGCAGCTATGAGCCCTAAACTCTGACCTCTGATAGAGACTGAGGCAATCCAAAAGAGCAGTGTACTTTACTGTAGCATGCTCATTTACACGAGCAACTGCCTGAAGTGACGCGTCCATTCAGCATCATTTAGCAGAAACACAGCTCGCCGAACATCCCAGGTCCAGTCATGCACCACGGCCCAGTCTATTTAGACCCCCTGATCCTGCTGAGCGTGCTGTTATTGTGGGGACCTTTGGGGTCCAGGGGCCAGAATGACACAGAGCCCATCATCCTGGAAGGGAAATGTTTAGTGGTATGTGACTCCACGCCCTCGTCTGAGCCCGCTGGCAACGCTTTGGGCATGTCGGTCCGCTCTGGCTCCGGCCGAGTGGCCTTCTCCGCCAGCCGCCAGACCAACCATGAGCCCACCGACATGAGCAACCGCACCATGATCATCTACTTTGACAATGTGAGTATTACACTGCAACATTTGCCTTTAAATGGCACCACTCTTGTTCACAATGCCTCACTTTTTCACATATTGGGATCGTTATTTGGTGTTGGCAACAGAACGAAAGGCAAACTGAGGCTGGAACGTCCATTGAACATCCTCCTCATTCTTGTATGCCTTTCATAATAATAATTAAAAAAGAAAAGATCAAATGACACTCTTTTGTGCCTGAAAAAAACACAGTTTTCCCTGTGAGTACACTGTAAGACTGAAAATCTATATGCCTGTCAATGTCCTGCAACAGATGTTTATTTCCCAGAACATTTATATTAAAGACAAAAAGCCTAAATAAAAATTTCTCTGCGTAACATTATTGATTAAATGTGCAATAATACATGAAGTTAATGCACACACCTCATGTCATTCTGCCTTCCTTTTCCTCACCATCTTGATCAGATTTTAGTGAATGTGGGGACTCATTTTGACCAAGAGAGTAGCGTCTTCCTAGCACCAAGGCGAGGTGTTTACAGCTTCAACTTCCACGTGGTGAAGGCGTACAACAGGCAAACCATCCAGGCATGATGGCCCCTCTGCTACCAAAGTTATGGTTGACACTCTACTGGATCCGGAATCTCTCTCTGATCCCGTTTTTTCCTGTCAATTAGGTCAGCCTGATGGTGAATGGCTGGCCAATGATTTCTGCCTTCGCTGGGGACCAAGATGTGACCAGAGAGGCTGCGACCAACGCCGGTCTGGTGATTATGGAGAAGGGGGACAAGGCCTACCTCAGACTGGAGAGAGGCAATCTGATGGGAGGCTGGAAGTACTCCACCTTCTCTGGATTTCTGGTCTTCCCCTTGTGAGGAACATGGAGAGTTTAGGTGGTACGAAACCGTTAGAGAAACGTTTTTGTGGGAAGTGGTACTGAATGAGAGAGAAGGGGGTTTGTGACGGGAGGAAAGAAAAGGAGTCGACCTGCTACTGCGTGGGAGATAAAGTGGAGAGGTTTACGGAGAACTGAACCGAAGGCTATCCAAATGAAGAGAACACTCAGCGACAGAAAGGAAAGATAAAAAGTGCCAAAAGCACTTAGTACATTATTTGTTTCTGGAATTTATGTGCTCAGTCTCTGTGTGTAAATAATTATCCCACGGAAAAAATTATTATGATAACAATATATATTAGAAATGTACAATGTAAGCTTCTGAGCTAAGAGTATGTGAAGGCCTTAATTATTTTTTAATTCAAAACATTTAAATCACTGCTGTGCTTCAAATGACACTCTTTTCTGCCTGAAAAAACTGTTTTCCCTCATTTGAGTGCACTGTATGACTGAAAATCTATATGCCTGTCAATGTCCTGCAACAGATGTTTATTTCCCCAAGATATTTCTATTAACTACAAAAAGCCTAAATAAAGTTGACAAAATTTCTCTGCGTAACATCATTGGGTAAATGTGCAACAATACATGCAGTTATTATTTTAGGAGTCCTTGCAAACGTGATTGTTTAATCTGCTAATCTGCTTTAAATTGGCAAATTCAAAGCACTCGTGCCTCATCCACATTTGTGACACGCTACCCAATGCCACTGCAGCGGTTTGTAAATATAGCTCCCACCAGCAGAGCTGGCGTTGGCGTGGACCGGGCCGACCAGCATGGGACGGTGTATAAGTGTGGTGGATGGCGGATACTCCTCGCAGGGATGGAGACAGATGGACGCTTTGGCGAGCAGGCAGGCGCATCCCTGCAGGACTGCCGTTGGTAAAGTGTGGTGTCCTGTCACATGTTGTCACTTACGCTTCCCCGATTCAGGACCACCTATCTCTCTCTCTCTCTCCTTTCTTATTTACTGTTGTCTCTTGCGCACAGTGAGATCGTGATATGATGATTTAAAGGGGCAACAGTTCTTGGAACTGGAAAATGGTGTTACCTGCTGCAAGTGTAGTAAAGTCAGTAAAGTAAATACTGCTGTGTTAGAATAAATGCTTCATTAACCGACCGTACTATGTTGGCAACTTCCTCTGAGGCCCCTGTAGCTCATGTGAGAGACCTGAAAAAGCTCCATCTGTATTTTTCTTTACTGAGATCCATTATAATATCACGTAAATTGGCATAAGTGTGGCCTAATACATGTATATAAGATCACCAGATCAAATATATATATTCTTATATATATATTGGAATATTGGAACCACATATATCAATATCGGCCTCTAGAGGGCACTAAAATTCTAAATCCCAAACGCCTGGTCCAACCATGATCGCCCACAAACCCTCACATCGCTACACAGAGAAAGCTAATGTCTGTATTTTAGGGTTATTAATAGTAACCATTGGAAATCCTGCTATTAATAATTTGGTACGGATCCATATATATCTGAACAGAATAGAGAAATAGCACAATAAGGCCTAATTAATTTAATGATGTGGACTTAATTCTGAGCTGTGGCCAATATAATAAAAACGCTGGAGGAGAAAAAATGATGGAATCATTCACAAGCCGATATGAAGGCAGTGCAGTGTTTTAGACATTAATCAAACAACTATTTTTCTATACTGATCTACAAGTCACATGTGTTTTTTACTGTGAGAATATACGGTCGTAAAAAAAAAAAAAACAATCCTGAAGATCCCCGAGTCAAATGATCCCAGCTAGGCCGCATTTATTGCTTCCTCTACCTAACTACGGATAACATCCCGCCCAGAATCGGCCGCGAAATTGATTGACACCCAGTTAAACCAATGGGCGGGCCGTAAGCACCCGGCTCATGGGAGCACCAGCCAATCATCGCTTGGAAGCGTCCGAGGGGCAAGCTTTCTACGCTTTCTGTCTGGCAAGAAGTTAGTTCCTGCTCTTCCCTGGCCGTTTCCTGTAATCGTACAGTGTTGTGAGACGGAGAAAGCCATGTGTGTCGATGCAAAGGTAAATTTAGCACCCCGAAATTATTACTGTGAGAGTTGGGGCAGTGGTTATGATGGTTATTTTCAGGTATTTTTGCCGAAAATTAGACGCAGATCAACCGAAACAGTATTGCGGCCTAACCTGTGTCTGAACGTTGACGGGCAATGGTTATTGTGGCACGTTGCTTTGGTTTGGTCCGGTTTGTTGATGAGATTGAAGGAGTCCGGTAGACTGAGTGGTTTGTAGTAGATGGTAGAGAGTGGAACCGACGACCTTAAACACACAACGCGCCTTGTTTATGAGCCTGGATATGTTTAGGGTGCTTCGCAGACTTTGGTAATGGGCACATTTTGGTCGCGGTAGAAGCTAATGCTAGCCGACGGTTTTGTAAGAAAGACTGCAATACGACCGGAGAGGAGAGCATCGTACCTGTCCAGCATCCCTGCCCTCCTCCTTTTACTTCTCCAACTACTCTCTGTCAAATAAATTCTTCCAAGTTGGCGCATTCATATAATTAAAGTAGTTTATTTTAAAACCGCTTTTCAAACCATTTAATGTAACTTTGTAAGCATTCTGGACCGCGCCATCCTAAGTTAGCTCATACTTAAAAAAAAAAAAAAAATGGTGTAAAGTTTTAAGTCAGCTAAGATACAGTCAAAGATTTAAGTTTGGAATCATATTGCCTGGATATTAGTTAATAAAACACTTAGCTTTCAAAGCGAGTTCAATTTCATTCATCAGGTTCAGAGGTAAAAATAAGAGTGTAGTCATGGAAATATGTATGTTTTTGTGAAATATTTTCTTTCTGAACTTTGAATTCAGACCTTTTAGAATTATACTACAGCTAACGGGGTTACACTTGCCTTTTTTTTTAACCAGGTTTAGCAAACTTTTAACGTGTTTCCTTAAATGAGGAGGTTGTGAGACAGGCCGCTGATTGACATTTGATTCTTCTTTCCTCAGCTGTTTACTTGAAAGAAGAGAAGAATTGGAAACCAAATATATAGCTTCCATCTCGGAGTCTTTTTAACACTGTGCCCATCTCCCTGCGTGGAGGGGGCAAGATGGCAGATCCCATTATGGACCTCTTTGAGGACACGCCCCTGTTTAACCTGGATGCCCTACCGGATGACTCCTTCTCTCAGGGCTCCTCGGACCCCGTGGAGGAAGCTCTCAAGCTGGCTTTGGGCCAGGTTGACCCGACGTCTGAACCAGAGTCCACCCCTGACCTCACGGTCAACACGAGCCTCGGTGTTCCTGTAGCAGCTCCTGCCATCCCAGACCCCGCCCCTCTCCAAGTTGCCTCGCAGCAGCCCGTGACCGTGGCGACTGCTCAGACTGTTTCCGTAGCTGCCGCCCCCGCCGCCACCCTCTCCGCCGCCGTCGACGCCATACCTCAAATACAAGCTCAGACCACCATACCCATGGCCAGCAACGCCAGTGTGGCGACCAGTAGCACTGTCCTGCTGAGCTCCCCTTTGACTGTTTCTAGCCCTTCGGCTACAACCACCACCGCCACCACGCAGCAGCTCGCACAGATCACTCACCAGCTCACTCCCCAGCAGCTAGCCGCCATCACGCAGCAGGCCGGTGGCAAAATCGTCATTCTGAAAGGACCCCAGGGTCAGGCCCAGGTGCTGCAGACTGTGTCGGGAGCCACGGCCCAGACCACCGGAAAGGTCATCCGCGTGCTGTCGGGCACCCCGCTCAAACCCGGAATGTCCATATTACAGGGGGGGGCCGTCCTGAACCAGGCTAGCCCAGGACAAACCCAGGTCAAGGTGGGCACCGCGGGAGTGCAGAGGCTGCTGCAGTCTCCCAACGGCCCGGTGAAACAGGTGTTGCTCACATCCATGCCCCAGCAGGTCCAGCAAACGCAGGGCCAGTCCGTACAGGTGCAGATTCCAGCCCAGGCGGCCATGGCTCAGGGTCAGACCACAGTCCACGTCCAGCCCCAGGCTGCCCAGATACAGACCCAGAACCAAGCTCAGATCCAGGTCCAGACACAGGGCCAAGTGCAGCTGCAGCCGGCCATGCAGACGCAGTCACAGGTAAGCACAGCCACCAGTTTGTGGCTGTCTGTGCTCCCAACAGTGGCACCAGAGCAGGTGATGACTACAACGGATCTGTACTTTCCTTAAAAAATTCAAGTTTCACCAGTGTATTAGTCAGGTTTTTCCCACCGACTGCTGCTAAGAGTCTCATCCTGCGTGTCTCTCTAGGGTGGAGAAGCAAAGCGCATCACCTTGGTCCTGCAGCAGCCTTCCCAGACCGGCTCCGCCGCACAGTCGGGTCAAACGGTCACAGCTCAGACGCAGGTGGCCCAGGTCCAGCAGGTCCAGGCGGGCCAGCAGGCCCCCACCAGGCTGGTGCTGGGGCAGCTCCCTGGTGGCAAACTGGTGCTCCAAGGAAGCCAGATAGCAGCCCTGACCCAGGCTCGGGCCGCGGGCCAGGCAGGAGGGCAGCCCAAAGTCCTCACCATCCAGCTGCAAGTGCAACAGCAGCCCAACCAGCAGGGGGGAGTGAAGGTGGGAAAAAACTGATGGACCGTCTCCATTTATCACACTGACAAGAACACGATTATCCGATTAAGAAACAGAGTGTTCTAGCCACTGGCATCCGTTTGCACATCAGAGCTGTTTTTAAATGTGTTAAATGAATAACACACACTCTTTTGGATTGCAAAACGTAAAACAATAAAACAGGTGTTGATGGATGTACAGTGCACCTCTCTACTGTACTACAACAAAAACTTATATAGAGTTCTATAGCGGACCATCTAACAAACATCGGCTAGCAGTCCTACCCAATTTCTTTCTTCAGCAACAGGCCACATTCAACAGTGTGGCGTTTGCTAACCTCATGTCAGACCTGGGACACACTCCGGCCTCATTTGGAGGGCTGCTAAGCTTGTTGTGCCCTTTTGATTTATTTATTTTTTGTTATTGTTTTTTTCATTTTTTTATAGGATTCTGAATTGCAAATCCTGACCATAGACCTGTAATGTAACTCATCTCTGAGTGCTGTTGGATGAGAATTGATGATGCCTGACTTTGTCATTGAGTGAGCAATGCATAATTAATAATGTTAGTGTTTTTATTCCATGGATCATTTGGGCTTTTTGAAGCCGTGCATCTCCAGGCCTGCCATAAAAAGGATCATGTTCCGATTTAAAATCAGGAACATTTCCAAATTCATCTTTAATTTCTGATTTTACTTTGGTTTGTTTCATGCCAGATCAGTTTAAGGTAAGGCTGGCAACCCCATTGTTTTCCTGAATTGATTAATATCTGTTTCAGGTCCTAGTTCAGTTTGGTATTGATTAGGTTAGAGATGTACAGTTACACAAACTGTTGGAGGAAAAAGGAGGAAAAAACAAACTCTTACATTAACATATAAGACTAATGAGCTGAGGCACCACAGATTTTTGTAATGGAGCTCTTTTGTTTGCTGGAATTCTCTGAGCAGATATGTGAATATTCAAATGGTAATCAAATGCTTTAGGTGTGACATTTTACCCAGTTTTGTTTACTGTATAGATATAAAACAGTTTTTGAATAATTTATTTTTTGGTTTATTATTTTTCTCTTTTTATATTACCAGTTTAATTTAGTGCATTTGCAATATGTGTTTGCGTAGCTCTGGGTCTTTTTGTTCCCACCCTTATTCTGTCATTGTACTTGTAGCGTACTGTTGACTTACCCTGTCTCTCTGATGCTTTTAGTATCAGCTTGTGTCCGGAGCTGGAAACGCCGGCAGCCCTCAGGTGCTGCAGATCTCCCAGGGCCAAGGAGGACAGAGAGTTGCGGTCCCTCTCAAAATGCTCCTGCAGCCACAGGTCAGACCATCTCTTTTGCAGGCATCAGCGTGAGATATTGAATGCAAAACAAGGAAAAACTGCTGAGAATACATTTGACTGTCCCGTAGACGAGCTCAGCCTCCTCCACTGGCGGCGCCGTCTCGGTGGTGAAGGTCATCAACACTTCTACGGCGGGCCCCTCGACCACCACCACCACCCCCACCCAGGCCATCCGCATCAGCAAGGCTCCCGGGGAGTCGGCCGCCGTGCGCCGCGTGGAGATCCTCTGCAAGCAGGAGAAGGCCAACCGCATCGTGGCCGAGGCCATCGCCCGGGCCAAGGCCCGCGGCGAGAAGAACCTGCCCCGGGTGCTGAACCAGGACGAGCTCCCCGCCACGCAGAGCTCCCCGGAAGCGGGGGGCGCCGTGTCCGTCGTGTCCACCGGCAAGAAAAAGAGCGGCGGGAGCAAAAAGAAGAGCCCTGTGGCCGGAGGGCACCTGCCGAAAATGGTAGTCGGAACCGACAAAAAGGGCAAAGTCAAGACTCCAGGAGGAGCGGTTTCGATAGCCGGAGGCGGAGTGATGCCTGTGACCGGGAACAAGAGCAAAAGCAAAAATAAACCAAAGTAAGTCCTCCGTTTGGACGGAGTACATAAAGGAGAGCCGCTGCTTTTCTGGAAATGCAACTTTTTTATCTTTTTTTATTTTTATCCGTCAATAATTCTCTGTCTGTTTTTCTTTGTCTCTCTCAACCCGCCCGGCAGCACTATTACACTAGTGGGAGCAAAGAAACGAAAGAGAAACGCCTCCTCCGACCACTCGGATGGGGAGCAGAGCCCCGCCTCCCCTGCGGCGCTGGAGGACGACTTGATCATGGTGCGAACACGCAGGTTCCTGTTTGTGGGCAGAGCGCTGCAAAATGCAGTGTTTACGTTAGGGATGACCCGATCCAGCTTTTTGCACTTCCAATCCGATCCCGGCCTATCAGAGCATGTATTAAAGTTTTAATTTATTTAGCCTACTTACTTAGTTGTCAGACTCATGTTGAACAGGGATTTACTCTGATAACCTGTGGGTTAGGAGATGCTGATGCTCGTGTGCGATCGGACTTAAAAAAAAAAACTGGATCGGGAGTCTGGATCTGCATTTTCTCATGCTGGCCAATACACATTTTTTTGCATATATGGGCTGCCAATACGGTCAGACTATCGGATTGGGACAAGCCTAGTTTACGTTTCAGCTTGGTTTGTGTTGTTAGTCTGGCAAGACTCACCAAGTGACATCAGATCACACTTTAGCTGGAAAAAGAAGGATTTCTGAAGAACATGTTGTGGTTGAAGTGGTCTGGTTGACAAACTAAAACCCCTCTCCTCTAACCAGAAGAGGCGCTCCAATCGCGTGGTGAAAAGGAAGAAGTACACGGAGGACCTGGACATCAAGATAACAGACGACGAGGATGAGCAGGAGGACGTCGACGTCACCACGACGGCGGCCGCCGTGGCCTCCATCAGCGGGGGGGCGGCGGCGCAGCTCAAGCAGGAGGTGGAGCTGGATCCCGATGGACTGCAGAGTATGCAGTTCTTTGTGGTGAGTGTCCAGTTTTTATTGCTCTCCTCTCGTCTCTTTGCGGAACAAACGGAAATTGCAGCGCAGGTTGTTGTTTGAGTACTTTCCCAACATGGAGTGCCTCACTGTCATGCATCACTGGTGCGTTTTACAGGAAAATCCAAGCGAGGAGGATGCTGCCATTGTGGACAAAGTGCTGTCTATGAGAATAACCAAGAAAGAGGTGCCTCTATCTACATTCAGATTTAACATTTGATGTGCTCATTTTGTTTGGTTGTCATGAATCTTTTTCTTTCCTTCTAGATTTCTTCCAGCCAGTATATGAATGTTGAGGAATTCTTTGTAAAATACAAGAACTAGTAAGTCTCCCCATCCCACTCTGATGCCAGTACCTTGCACTTTTGTTGCCCGTGGAAATGAATGAGCAAACACTCTTCTGTTCTCAGTTCATACCTGCACTGTGAATGGGCCAGTTTGCAGCAGCTGGAGAGGGACAAGAGGATCCATCAAAAGATCAAGAGGTTCAAGACTAAGCACGCACAGATGAGGCACTTATTCCAGGAGGTGAGCGGGAGGCAGATGGAGAAGCTGTCTTTCTGTTTTTTGGGAAATAGAGCAATGTCACTCTTTTAACTTTTCTGTAAATGGTTGTTTTTAGGATGAAGAGCCTTTTAACCCAGACTACGTGGAGGTGGACAGGATCCTGGACGTGTCCCACAGTGTGGATAAGGACAATGGCGAGGTCTGAGTCCATGACCTCTCCACATCCCATCTGTTCTCATGCTCTCTTTCATTGCTTTCTCTTTTGAATTGGTACGATTTGGAAATTGAGATTCTCCCCTTGTGCTCCCTCCAGCCCGTTATCTACTACCTGGTGAAGTGGTGCTCTCTGCCATATGAGGACGCCACATGGGAGCTTAAGGAGGACGTGGACGAGGGCAAAGTCGAAGAGTTCGGCAAAATCCAGAACCGGCAACCTCGTTTGAAGAGAACGGTGAGCAATCGAACCCATTACTTCTTTTGCAACAAGCTACTTTTAAACGCTTTCCATTCTGGGAAACTTCACCTCTTTGTCAGGACATTGAAGTTTTGTCAGAAAAATGCCAATGAGTTGTGTCACCGCATAAAAAAACACCTGTACATGAAGTGTGATTCTTTAGAATAGGGCCAAAGCCTGTAATGGATAGGCTTTTTTAAGGGATCAAAGTATATTGTGAATTTTTCAATCGATCTTTATGAAGGACAAATGAGGTGATACGCTTTGCTTAAGAGGCGAAGCACTGCATCACATTTGTAAATAAGATGTCCTCATGTACTGTTGATGATGAGTCTATAAGGGAAACCGGTACCACCTGCTCAACAGCAGAAAGTAGAAAAGTGAGTCGCTGTCAGCTGCTTTCTCAGCCTGAAGTGAGCCTGTATAACAAAACTAACCATTTCAGTTCACATGATGCCATGTCAGAAGTTTTTTATAAGGGGCTTACTCAGAGACCAGTGTGACTTGAAGCCCCCCCCCCCCTCCCACTCGCAATAACCTGGAAAATGTTTGGAAACATTGATCATTTTTTAAGCAGATTGAACAAATTGGATTTGAAGTCAGAAATCACATGACAAGTACAGTCCTCCTTTCTTTTTCCTTTTTCTGTTTTCCTAATTTTTTCCCCCCCATTTCTCTTTCCTCAGACACGACCTCAAGCCAGTTCATGGAAGAAGTTAGAGGAGACCAGAGAGTATAAGAACAGCAACACATTGCGAGAGTATCAGCTAGAAGGAGTCAACTGGCTCCTCTTCAACTGGTACAACAGGTATTCATCCAGCCTGCTCGTGGGTTCATTACCAGCTGTGATATTTGGTGGCAAAGCTCAAGCCAGTTATCATCAGTGTTGATTTTAAACATTCAAATTCTATTAACTATGGATGGATGTGCCTCTCAAACCCAGACTACAAGTGGCAGTATGGAAATGGGGTTCCTGGGCTTCTTCCAGAGCTTCAGGGTTCACACTTGGGTTTTCCCGTCTTTCAGGCAGAACTGTATCCTGGCAGACGAGATGGGCCTGGGGAAGACCATCCAGTCCATCGTGCTGCTGTCAGAGGTCTATGCTGCCGGGGTCCAGGGCCCCTTCCTCGTCATAGCGCCCCTCTCCACCATCACCAACTGGGAGAGGGAATTCACCACATGGACCCCCATGAATGCCATCGTGTACCACGGCAGCCTGGCCAGCCGACAGATGATCCAGCAGTATGAGATGTACTGCAAAGACGACAAGGTTCGCTCACTCATCTCAACAGAGGCCGATTCTCCCAAGTGATAATTTTTTTTTTAGTCCAAAGCATCTAATGGTAATCATTATTCTTCTTGCAGGGACATTTAATTCCAGGTGCATACAAGTTTGATGCCCTCATCACAACCTTTGAGATGGTGCTGTCCGACTGCCCGGAACTGAGGGAGATCTCCTGGCGCTGCGTGATCATCGACGAGGCTCATCGCCTTAAAAACCGCAACTGCAAGCTGTTGGACAGCTTAAAGATGCTCGACCTGGTGGGTAGACTGTTGCTGATGGTGCCTTGCACGTGCAAGACGTTTTAGTTTTTTTGTTCGCAAACGATGTCCTGCGGTTCATCACAGGAACACAAAGTGCTGTTGACCGGCACCCCTCTTCAGAACACGGTGGAGGAACTCTTCAGTCTGCTTCATTTCCTGGAACCTGCTCAGTTCCCTTCAGAAATAGAGTTTCTGAGGGACTTTGGAGACCTTAAAACAGAAGAACAGGTAAGGGTTTTTTTGGTCAGACTCCCACACAGGCCTTTTCTTTGACTGTTGTTCCGGCTGCTGAGCAAGTTCCGTCTTTGATTGGACCCATTAGGTTCAGAAACTGCAGGCGATCTTAAAGCCGATGATGCTGCGAAGGCTCAAGGAGGATGTGGAAAAGAACCTGGCACCCAAACAGGAGACCATCATCGAGGTCAGTTTTTTTTCTGGTTTTCTCTGTTTGAGTATTAAACCAAGTGGTCGAATGCATTTAGAAAAAGTTAGGAACTTTCTCTGATGGGGTCATTATTAGTTTAAATTTGTTTTTGTTTTTTTCTATAGGTTGAGTTGACTGATGTTCAGAAGAAGTACTACCGGGCCATCCTGGAGAGGAACTTCAGCTTCCTCAGTTTAGGCGCAAATAGCAACAGCAACGTCCCCAACCTGCTCAACACAATGATGGAGCTCCGCAAGTGCTGCAACCACCCCTACCTCATCAACGGTACCGCACTGCTGCTCTTTGTCCCCACAATCATTAGAAAAGCGCTACAAAAAAATGACCGAATTCTGTGGTTCTGTTTGCTTAACAGTGAAAATCCTTGAAAACCTGTAGGTGATGCCAGAGGTTACTGTAGAATTCCTGCTATTTGTTCGGTTTTGACGTTGCTGTGCTTCTCTTTCCCTTCAGGTGCAGAGGAGAAGATCGTTGCGGAGCTGCGGGAGGTGTATGACCCCATGGCCCCCGACTTTCATCTGCAGGCCCTCATTCGTTCAGCCGGAAAACTGGTGCTACTGGACAAGCTGCTGCCTCGTCTTAAGGCTGGTGGCCACAAAGTGCTCATCTTCTCTCAGATGGTGCGCTGCCTAGACATTCTGGAGGACTACCTCATCAATAAAAGGTATTCTGTTGTAAAAAGGGAGCTCTCTGAGGCCATTGTTGAAAGCTTTGGTGAAGCAGGAGACATCTCAACATGCCCTGCTTCTCACAGATACCTTTATGAGCGGATTGACGGCAGAGTGCGTGGAAACCTGCGACAGGCTGCCATCGACCGCTTCAGCAAACCTGACTCGGACCGCTTCGTCTTCCTGCTGTGCACCCGCGCCGGCGGCCTGGGGATCAACCTGACTGCTGCAGACACCTGCATCATATTCGACTCCGACTGGAACCCTCAAAACGACCTGCAGGTACGACTTTCTTCCAGCACTTTTCTCAAGATTTTTCTGTTCATAACTCGGAGGTAATACAACCACCGCTCGTTCCGCTCTGACCGTTTCACACTGTGGTTCCAGGCCCAGGCGCGATGTCATCGTATCGGCCAGTCCAAGGCGGTCAAGGTCTACCGTCTCATCACCAGGAACTCGTATGAGAGGGAGATGCTGGACAAAGCCAGCCTGAAGCTGGGGCTGGACCGCGCCGTGCTGCAGAGCATGAGCGGCAACAAAGAAAGCAACGTCAACGGGGTGAGCAGAGAAAAGCCAGACTCAAGAAAGACGAGTTCTCATCCAGGTTGAACCTCCCGAGTTAATGGCTCCGTTTCACTTTTAGCAAATCCAGCAGTTCTCCAAAAAGGAAATCGAAGACCTGTTGAGGAAGGGAGCCTATGCCGCCATCATGGATGAGAACGACGAGGGCAGCCGATTCTGCGAGGAGGACATCGATCAGATCCTCCAGAGGAGAGCCACCACCATCACCATCGAGAGCGAAGGCAAGGGTTCCACCTTCTCCAAGGCCAGCTTCGTGGCCTCTGAGAACCGCAGCGACATAGCCCTCGATGACCCTGAATTCTGGGAGAAGTGGGCAAAGAAGGCAGACATAGACGTGGACACCATCAATCGGAAGGTAACGCTGTGGTGTTTTACCATGCTGGGTTTAGTCAGAAATGCTGGAGGGCCAGTTATTAAAAGGGGTCTAGATTCACCATTTTTAACACCCAGGTGACTAAAAGTGTGTCTTCTTTCCTCTACAGAACACTCTGGTGATTGACACTCCCAGAATTCGGAAGCAGACCCGACAGTATTCCACTTTACGTGGGGAAGGGGGAGACCTGTCCGATATGGACAGCGATGAAGAGTATCCGCCTGCGAATTCTAGACATTCCCGTTCTTCCCGCCGCTCCGATCGCCACAGCGGAAATGGCTACGGCCGCACAGACTGCTTCCGGGTGGAGAAACACCTGCTTGTCTACGGGTACGACGATGGCATTTTCAGTGCATAAATACGTGTTTACATTAATTTTTTGCCATTTTCAGTGCATCTATATGCATTTCTATTTAGTTGTTTTTCTTTTTTTGGCAATTTAAAAATCATATGTATCTGTTTACATTTAGTTGGTTTTCTTTTTTAAACTCCTTACTGGTTTATTTATGTAGGTGGGGTCGCTGGAGGGACATCTTATCCCATGCCAGGTGCAAGAGGCGTCTGAGCGAGCGCGACGTGGAAACCATCTGCCGAGTCATCCTGGTCTTTTGTCTGCTCCACTACCGCGGAGATGAGAACATCAAGAGCTTCATCTGGGAGCTCATAACTCCACCGGAGAACGGCCGCGAACCCCAAACACTACTCAACCACTCCGGTGAGGAGCCGCGCACCGACGGGGTCTCAGTGGGAAATAAGAATCCTCTGAGTGAAGAGCAGGAATGAGTGGAAGTCTCTTTTCAACTGTAACTTTTTTCTCTGTGCAGGCCTTTCTATTCCTGTCCCGAGGGGCCGGAAGGGTAAGCGGGTAAAAGCCCAAAGTACATTTGATGTCCAGAAGGTGGAGTGGATCCGCAAATACAACCCCGACACCCTGCTGCTGGATGACAGCTACCGCAAGCACCTCAAGCACCAGTGCAACAAGTAGGTGACCGCCCGCCGGCCGCCCGCCTGCGGCTTCCTGTGCGCTCCGGTGCTGACACCTCTGCCTCCTCTCAGGGTTCTGCTGCGGGTGCGTATGCTCTACTACCTGAAACAGGAGGTGATCGGGGAGCACGCCGACTCTGTCCTGAAGGGGGTCGATATCAGGTATCCGCCTCCCTCCGTTGTGTTTGGAGCCTCTGGGGCTCGCTCCCTGCAGGCGGACTGTCCTGCGTGCGTTTTATTTATGCCTTTTTTTTCTCTGCTCAGGGATGTGGACATCTGGATGCCAGAGATGGAGCAGCAGGAGGTGCCTGCAGGGTGGTGGGACTCGGAGGCGGACCGCTCTCTGCTCGCTGGCGTGTTCAAACACGGTGGGTCCGGTTTTGTCTGTATGCTTCCATTTTTGTTTTGAAGTGAAATGAGTTACCTCTTCACGTGTGGAACGTTTTTTGTGTGTCTTTTTTCCAGGTTACGAGATGTACACCACCATGCGGGCCGATCCCTGCCTGTGCTTCCTAGAAAGAGTCGGTCGACCCGACGACAAGGCCATCGATGCTGAGCAGCACACCGGCGACGCCGAGCTGGGAGATGAGTACGTTCTGTTCTATTGATTTTGTTTACCCAAACGGAGCGTTGCAAATTTGAGCAGAATGATGCCTGCACCTTTGTCTAAAGTTTAACCAGTGTTAAATTGTGGGCACCAGATTAAAAGACCCACTCATTCCTACTGTTCTGGATTTTGTTTTTTTTGTTTTTTTTTACCTGGTACCCAACTTTTGGGGAATTTTCTGAAGTTATTCTGGACATTTTACGTAATCAACACGTGGCGAGAGTTGTGAGATGTGTTGTTTATATGTCAGGAAACCAGAAAACCAGCTCACTCTGCTGGTTTGAGGCATCAGCTTTTAAGGAAATCCCTTCAGCTGGCAAACTAACACCCTGGCCTCCCTACCATCCTGTAAAAAGCAGTAAAGCTCAGGTTTTTTAGGTCAAGCTGACTAGACAAAGCAGTGGCAGCAAAAATAGCTAAATGCGATGGTTTAACGGAGCGTCTCAACGTCTGAGCTGCTGTTTCCTGCAGCAGAAACAAACTACAGAGTTCCTTTTGCACCTCGTATCAGGAACAAACTGCTGGTATAGATGGTTGTCATTCTTTGAGACGTGCGAATAAAAGAAACCCGTCTCTGTTTTCCTTAAGTTGGTGACAGCTATGGTGATACTTTAATCCTGTTTAACAATCTGAAAGATAAAGTGGACAAAATGTGTAGGAAGCTGTTGTTTTCCATTCAACGCCATGTTATCAGAACTGCTTCGAAAAGAAAGTTGTTCCTATTGAGTAGGTTTACAGGATGGCACTTTTCCTGCCTGATTGTGTTTGGTTTTGTTTTCCATAGTGCTGACTATGATAAATACTCTGAGGATCCAGAGTTCAAGCCGGCATCGAGGCACACCAAAGATCTTTTCGAGGAGGTACGTGTCCACCGGTGACCTCAGCTTTGTGGTGTCGCAGCTCACTGTGCGTGCGGTGGAGAATGACTCGGTAGACCAAAAGTAAAGCTTTGACTCGTGTGCCACAGCCTGATTCCATGAACGTGGACGATGAGATCTCGGTGGATCACAAAGCGGGACCCGTGGCCACCGAGAGCGCCCCCAGCCAGAGCGGCGCCTGCGATTGGCCCTCCAGCTCGTCCCTGACGGCGCGGCTGCGGCGGCTGATCACGGCCTACCAGCGCAGCTACCGGCAGGAGCAGCTGAAGATCGAGGCGGAGGCGAAGGGCGACCGCCGGCGCCGGCGCTGCGAGCAGGCCAGCAAGCTGAAGGAGATCGCCCGGCAGCAGCGCCAGCAGAGGTGCCCCATCCCCCGCCCTACACCCGCAGCCTTGTTGTGTTTCCCATTTCTGAAAGTTCCACCTGCATAGTTTAACTCTACAATGCCCCCGTTTTTCCAGCTGGATCTGGAACCCGGTCGCACAAAAAAGCCTGTCCTCACTCCAGCAGCCTATTTGGCTTTTTTCCAGGTGGACGCGCAGGGAAGAGTGCGACTTCTACCGCGTGGTGTCGACATTTGGCGTGGAGAAGGTGAAAAAGGAGCCGGGGCTCCCGGAGGGCGTCGAGGCCGACTTCGACTGGAACCGCTTCCGGACCTTTGCTCGCCTGGATAAAAAAACGGACGAGAGCCTGAGCCGGTACTTCCGCTGCTTTGTGGCCATGTGCCGGAGGGTGTGCCACCTCCGCCCCGGCCGCGACGAAGGTACGGGCCGCTCTGCTCCCGCCTCCCCACGGACGCAGAGACATGAGACGCGTGCTCAGCCCTTTGCTTTGATCTCACCCAGATCCGGCAGAGCTCGCCCAGACGGTGGCCCCCATCACCGAGGAGCGGGCGTCGCGCACCCTGTACCGCATCAGCCTCCTGCGCCGCCTCCGCGAGCGGGTGCTCCCCCACCCGTCCCTGGAGGAGCGGCTGCCCCTGGCCCCGTCCAGCTCGGAGCTGCCCGCCTGGTGGCTGCTGCCGGACCACGACCGGCAGCTGATGCTGGGCGCCGCGCTGCACGGCGTCAGCCGCACCGAGCTCTCCATCTTCGCCGACCCCCAGTTCTCGTTCGCCGCCGCCCGGGACGACTTCGTCCTGAACCAGCAGGCCCCGCCTCCTCCTCCCCCCCCGCCGCCGCCGCCCCCGCCCCAGGCCCCGCCCCTCATGGCGCTCAGCCAGCCCAAGCCCGAGCTGCTGGTGGCGGAGGGGAAGGAGGAGGAGGCGGACGGGGGCGGGCGGCTGCTCGGCGCCCCGCTGCCGACCCCCCCGCTGGCCCACCACGCCGGAAAAGCGCGAGATCAGGGCTGGAGCTTCAAGAGGAGCCGGGAGAGGGGGGAGAGGTCGGGCGGGCGGAAGGGCGAGGGGGGGTCCGACTCGGACTCGGACTCTGACTCGGGCTCCTCGTCCTCGGAGCGGTCCGGAGGCAGCGACGACAGCGGAGACAGCGAGGAGGAGCCGGAGGGAGGCGAGTTTCAGACGGCCAGAGCCGACGGACGCCGGACGGGGAAAAAGCCGAAGCATCTGCTCATTTTTCTCTCTATCTTCTCTCAGGAGTCATGAAAGTTGGAGACATGGACGAAGAGAACAGCTTGCTCTCCACGACTCTGTCTCAGGACGGCATGCCTCCCCCCGATCCGCTCCGAGTCGACTGGCCAAAGGTAACCAGGCAACCGCCGGCGCGTCCGGTCCGAGGATGCGGCCATGTTGGTTTTTGTTTCTTCTCCCCGGGACATAACGCTGGTTTTACCTCTGTGCCTCAGGACCGGGTGCTGATCAACCGCCTGGACAACCTGTGCACCCTGGTGCTGAGCGGCCAGTGGCCCTCAGGGCGCCGCTACCTGCCCGAGGCCCAGCTCAACCCCAGCTCGGAGCTGCTGGGAGACGAGGCGGCCTACACGCGGGTGGTCCGGAAACCCAGCGGCACGCCCACCGGCCTCGGCGGCGAGGGCGAGGACGGCGAGTTCACGGTGAAACTCCTAAAGGTGAGGGTCACTGAGAGCCACCGGCGCTCAGAACGGGAATGTGACGGACATCTAACACGAGAGGCCGCTGTCTGTGTTGTCCCGCCAGGAGGAAGGCCTGAAACTGACCTTCTCTAAGCAGGCGCTGATGCCCAACGGGTCGGGGGGGGAGAGCAGCAGCCGCAAGAAGCGCAAAGATCCAGAGGTGTGTCTCGTTTTAGATTGCGTGGAGTTTCGTCTGAATCCGATTGTTTTTGTTTTTTGTGTGTTGTTGTTTTTTTACCCTTCTCATTGTCTTTCCCCTCTAAGCTGTCAGACCTGGATGGACTCCACGACGCTTTGGAGCGTGCCCCTCGACGAAGAGACCCTCCCACGTGGCTGAAGGAGAACCCCGACTACGAGGTGGAAGGAGACATGCTGGAGGTGAACATCTCCCCCAGTTCCGCCTGCAGCCTTTCAGGCTGATGGTATCTCCGCTCTAATGCCTTTCTCCCCTCAGTTACTGGTCAACAGGAGCAAGAGGAAGAGGAGGAGGAGGACGGATAAACCTCTGACAGGCACTGAGAAAGTCAAGCTCATCAACATGAGGACTGGGAAGAAGGTGAGCCCCGCTCACACGTCTCCATCGTGGAGCCGCCGGCCGCCTCCCACTAACGGTCAGCCATCGTTTTCAGGTCGGAGCCGCTTTCTGTCCGATGCTGCAGGACCTGAGGGAGTACATGGAGGAGAACCCCGACAGCGCCGTGGCACCCGAGTGGTCCGAAACCGTCAGGAACTCTGTAAGGAGCCCACCTCCCTCCTGCACCGCTCAGATTTGTCTCACAGTTTCTGACTTTAAAACTGAATCTTCTCTCTCAGGGCTTCCTGCCCGAGTCCCTCTTCCACCGACTTCTGAACGAGCACTCGGAGATCCCGAAGAAAAGCCGGCGCCGTCACCACCACCATCACCACCACCACCACTACCACACCCCCGACCCCACCCCCGAGGACCCCAACTTAGACGGAGTGGAAGAGGAGACCCTGGTGTCCGACGGAGCCTACATGATGGACGAGGAGGACCTGGACACGTCCCACCACTTCCTTACAAGTCCTGAATTTCACATTAAAATGGAAGGGGGCGACAGCCTTTCGCAAGGCGACAGCTCAGACGACAGCTCGGATCAAGAAGCCCTATTGGACGATGTTATTATAGCACAGAAGGACTCCGACTCCTCATCAAGCTCAGAGGACTGACCAAACTCCGCTCTCCAAATGAACTAATTTAGTCCCCTTCCACCAACAAATCATGTTATTCCTCAATCATTTATTTTTTTCATTATGTAACAGATTATGAATTGCTTTTTTTTTTGTTTTGTTGGTTGGTTGTGGTTTTTTTTGCTACTTTTATTCGTTTATCTTGTTTAGGATTTTCCATGTAAGGAGCGGGTTTGCACCATCAGTTGGTTCCATCACCATTATGTTTGCATCTTCTCCCGTTTGGTCTTCGTATAACATGATGGCAAAAAAAAAAAAAAGCTGAGCTTTGTTTCTTTTCAACTCATCATTCTCCACCTCTTCCATCCAAACCTTTGACTTCCCATCGCATTCCCAAATGTGACCAAAAGGGGACCCTCGCTGTACAGATACTTTTCATATCTCTACAAAAAAAGGAGAACCCCCCCCTCGAAGCTGGTCCTCCTGCGCTACATGAAACTGGACACATCTATCCAGACGAGTCTGTGAACTAAAGGGGATCCAGGTTGTGGATGTACTGTTAGTGTTTTCACTTAATGGGAGGGGTGGGGGGGAATCGGTGTATTAGTTACTGAAGCAGGGCTTGGAGGATGGGGTGTACTGTACAATGTAGAGCTGGTCAGTTGTGTACTATGGTGCAAAGATGACAGCCGTGAGTTACTATTCTTGTTTTATGATCTGACTGTATCTGTGATATGAATAACAGCAATCTACAGTGAAAGAAGGTTTGTGTGTGTTATTGTGGTTTTTGGAGAGCAGAAATAAGGAGGCGGTTTGTCCTCATCACCCCAGCTTTCAGTGCTAAACAGCTTAAACTATTAAACCCGTTCATACCGTGTTCCCTCTACACATCCTGTTACTTTACAAAACTCCAGCTGAGGGAGGCCACTGTTGAAGGACACCTGAAAGAGCTGTGAAAAACCGCCTGATAATGAGAGGATTTATGTCCTGGCCATGGAGGGACAGCTGCTGATTTAGTCTGTCCCTAACACACTTACTGCTATGGTAAATTACACAAAAGGAAAAGAAACAAACAGACAAATGTATGGAATTATTATTTTTAATATCCATCCTTAGTAAATGGTATCTGGAGTTGAAACTTTCGAAAAACCAGTGACAAATGTGTTCACATTTTAAAAAAAAAAGTCATTTTCCCATTTTTGGGAAGATTACATTTCCTTAAATGCAAAAAGGACTCAATTTAAACACAATTGAACTAACATGGCGAGGAACGTTCAGGGCCGATCAGAATTAATCGAACGGTTATCAGATGTTTGCTGTTTTGTGCTTTTTTACGTGCAGATCCTGAGTTGTCTGTCAGGACCCAACGCCCCCAGTACAGCGTCGGCACTTCGTTTAACCCGAAATTTGGAATTCCATTCATACTTTATTCATTTAAAAAAAAAAAAGGGGGGGGGGGGGGTCTAAATGAGATTACCACCGACAGTCAAACGAATAACATATTTTTTATTTTTAGCGAAATGGGTGAACGGGCTGCGGTACTATTGATAGTTTGAATTTTTGTTTGTATTTTTTCCGCTCACCGAAAACGAACAATGTTGCGTCTACGTACAGATAAGTGTTCCGCCGAGATATTTCCGACGACACGTGAATCCACCACCGCTACCCTGAGCCGTACGCTAGCTCCGCCGTCTGAATGGGCTTGTTTGGGGTTTCCTGTGAAAGCGTTAGCTTTCAGTAGCAATGATAAGAGGAACTCTGAATTGACGCTGGCATTATTTGGAGCCTTGAACCTTCACATTGCCCCCAATTTAGCCCCCTTTTTGCTTCGTATTCGGGACAATTGACCCAGATGTCTTCCGCCGTTAAGTTAGGCTAACCGGCGTGTTCGACCAGCTAGCTGCTAGCGGCTAAAGTAGCATCAAATTGTCAGTTAACTGGACAACCCCCCCCCCACTCCGATAAAGTATGAGAGTGCGACCGTACAGCTGAAATCTTCTCCCACTTCAAAATGGACCTAAATTTCTACTCGGATTTGTCGGACGGCTGCGCTCAAAATGTCGACTCGGAGTTTTTGGACCCTCAGGCGTACGGCGAATACCCCGTGGAGAATAAGGTAACACCGCGTCCGGTTAGCGCCCCGACGGAGAGGGGATGATGGAAAGTGTCAGTGGTCCGGGACGTTAACGCCGTGCTTCCAGTTTGCAGGAGGCGGAGACGGTTACCTGTCCATCGGCGGGGCGGCTCACCCCTTCCTGTCGGCGGAGGTGAGTCTGGCATCCGGACAGCTGCCGGCTGTCTTCTGCTGCTCTCCATCCGTGTCCCTGAACTCATCACACCTTCCCCCGCACGCATACAGCAGACATTCCACACGCCGAGTCTCGGGGACGAGGTGTTCGAGATCCCGCCCATCTCCCTGGACCCGGACCCGGCTCTGAGCATCGGCGAGGCGGTGTCCCACTACGACTCCGGCGGGCCCTCGTCCGGCCGGAGCCTCGTGAGCAGCCTGGTGGTGGGGGCCGGGGACCCGTCCTTTGCGGCCGCCTTCGTGAACTCCGGCCCCCAGGGGCTGGAGCAGCTCAGCCTGGGGGCCATGCCCCAGGCGGGAGGGGGGGCCCTCCTCAGCTCCTCTGCCCTGGTGAGCCCCCAACTGGTCCACAGCACCCTGATGCTGAAAATGTCTGGGTTGTAACACTTGGGGGGGGTCTTTTGGGTCCGTGGTCTCTGCAGGAGCTGGGCAGCGCCGGCGTTTCGCACTTCAGCACCTCCTCCCCCATGACCATCGACGTCCAGCTGGGCGACATGGCCCACGGCCTCCTGGGGAGCGCCCAGCTCAGCACCATCAACCCGGCGGAGCTGGCTCTGGGGCTGGGCGGCGGGGGCCTGGCGCCCCGCCCGGAGGCGCCCGAGCAGCCGCTGTCGGCCACGCCGTCGCCCGCCGGCTCGCTGCAGGACGAGGACGTGGACGACTTCAAGGTGAGGCCAGAGAGACTTTCTGACCCCGTCGGATAACATGGAACCTAATCTGGATTTAAAAAAAGACAAGTTTTTATGATGACAAGACACTTACCTGGATGCAGCGAGTTAGTGGAGTTAACTTCTGTTCTGTCTCCCCCCACAGAGAAGTGTGCTGGTAGACAGCCCCCTGTCTCTCTCCTCCCCTTCCTCGGCCGTCCTCTCCCACATATCCTCCCACGCTGCACCTCGAACCGTCTCCCTGGCTACGGCCAGGAGGGGCGGGGGAAAGCCTGCTACATTAGTGACTCCCACCGAGGCGGCGGGGGCAAAGAAAGGAAGAAAGAAGAAGGATCCCAATGAGCCCCAGAAGCCGGTGTCGGCCTACGCGCTGTTCTTCCGAGACACCCAGGCGGCCATTAAGGGCCAGAACCCCAACGCCTCCTTCGGGGAGGTGTCCAAGATCGTGGCGTCCATGTGGGACAGCCTGGCCGAGGATCAGAAGCAGGTAAAAAGAGCATTTTCACATCCACGCCGACCACACGGGAGACGTGTTGAAAACGAAAACAAACGGACGTGGCCGTTGGTCTGCTTCCTGTAGGTGTACAAGAGGAAGACGGAGGCAGCCAAACGGGAATATCTGAAAGCGCTCGCAGCCTACAAAGCCAACCAGCTGTCCCAGGTGGGCCCCCCGGGACCTCCAGGTGGAAGTTTTTGTGGCTTCTTTCCGCTCGACTCACTTTTCCGTGTAATTCTTCACCTTCCAGCCCGCGTGCGAGGAGATGGACGCCGCCCCCTCGCCGCCTCCGGCCGCGGTGACCCCGGCCCCCGCCGCCGGTCACCTGCCCCCCCGCCCGGCGCCGGCCAGCAGCCGGCCGGAGGAGAACACCATCACCAACATCTGCGCCTCCAACATCATCCTGGACGTCCCGGAGATGATCACGCGCTCCCACACGGGCGCCGGCCGGGCGCCCCCCCCCGGCGCCGCCCCGGCCCAGACCATCACCAAGATCATCATCCCCAAGCACATGCTGCAGGCGGGGGGGCAGGTGGTGACGGTGCTGCCCGGGGGGGTCCACGCCCTGCAGTCGGCCCTGCTGGTGTCGTCCCGCCAGCCGCCCCCCCTGCAGCAGATGCAGGGCGCCCCGCCCCCCCCGCCGCGGCTCCAGCAGATGGCGCCGGCCCCGCCGCCCCTGCAGGCCAAACCCCGCGAGGGGGGCGGGGCGCCGGGCCACCCGCCGCCGCAGGCCGCCGCCGCCACCGCCACACCCCCGCCCCCCCTCCAGATAAAGATAGTCCCCGCCCCCATTCAGGACAAAAAGGCGGCGCCCACCATCATGGTGGCCGCCCAGCCGGCGGCGGCCTATCAGGAGGAGGACGAGGTCACCGAGGTGCTGCATTCAGAGGAGGTGGACTTCTCTCTTTGAGCTTCACACCTCCACAAATATCTGGCTCAGATGAAACCCTGAAGAGCGTCTGCGTCCGGTGGGTGTGTTCAAACCTGCTTGTGTCCACAGGAGGAGATGGAGGTGAACGGGCTGGGCGGCGGCGGGGGGGGGGAGCGTGTGCGTGAGGGCGGGCTGCAACAACCCGGCGGTGGACAGCCAAGACTGGGACAAAGAGTACTGCAGCAACGAGTGCGTGGCCACTCACTGCCGGTGGGTAAAGCTCCGTACTTTTTCCCCTCGGAAAGGAAAAAAACAACCAAAAAAAGTTCTCTTTTTACGACCGGTGTGCTTTTGGCTTTTCAGGGACGTGTTCCAGGCCTGGTGCTCCATCAGGAATCAGAGCCTGGGAACGGTCAAGTGAGGAGCCGCTGATGCACGGCAGGTTTTGGTTCAGTTTTTTTTGTTTTTCTACTTTTTATTTTTTACAGGATTTAGAACGTGTTCAGTGTTCAGAGGAGAAACGCATCAAATGCATTTCACAGCCGATGAGTGTTAGTCAGGTCTCTCACTGTTTGTTCATGGAATATTGTTTGTTTTTTCCCACAATTGTAGGTAATAAAATTGCTAAAAAGCTAGAAAACTAAGGAGAATAATTTGGTATTCGTATCGTCGAGCTGATAAAAGTCTTTTGTGTGGACGATGACCAGTGTCCTGTGGACGGTCAGCCATCAGAGAGGTGAAGGCAGCTAGAGGGTTTAATGGAGGATCCAAGACAAATATGAATAGTCTTTATTTTTCCTCTTTCCAAAAACACAACACAGTACATTTACTCTTGGATTTAAAACACACTTTGTAGTCTCGCTCTTAAAACATAGAAGAAAAACCTACAACAGTTCCAAATGAACTGGAAATGCCTTAGAGTGTTAGTTTATATATATATGTGTGTATATATTTGGTACTAATGGTGGCCTTCCAGGTGTTTAACATTGCCTCAATTATTTTTTTTTTGTAAAAGATTTGTTCACAACTACATTTTCCTTGTTGAAAAATGTTCAATATCTTGTGTTTTATCAATAAAAGAGCCGTCTTGCTCCAGGAACTTGTTGGTGGATTTTCCTCATGATACCATACATAATATTATTGAACAACCAAAACTAAAAGTAACCCTAAAAACACATAAAATGGCAGCTTTGAATCATCTTTTGGTACGATTCCAAAAGCTTCACACTATTTTCTTTGAGCAACCTCCACCATCTTTCTCATAAGGCCATTATATAATGCAAACCTTTTTTTAGGTTTGTTTTTTTTATCTTTAAATAACCTGGCGGAAACTCTACGGTTGGGATTTTTTCTCGTGAAGATAGCCAAAGCTGATACAACAAATCTGATGTAAAAGTGGACAAACTGGCCTTTAGTGGAAGAGCTGTGCGTTGGTCTGTATGACAAACTCCACCCTCACAATCCAGTCCCTGCCTTATTTATCTTTCTTTATTTTTGAACAATTAGTGTAATGTACAATTTGCACTGTAATGATGTTCAATAAACAGCAAAATAACAGTTATTCACAATTACCATTATGAATAAACAACCCAGATATATTAAAATACATTCCTGAGGTCTGAACCAATCACAGCTTGTTCAACTCCACCCACTGATTGGAGGATTGGGTTAGTAATACAGGAGTTTACTCCAACTATTCTCATAAAAATCTACTAGAAAGACCGAGGACTTTGCGGCGCTGGTCAGTATGATGACCATCTCTGGGTTTGGCTCAACTCCCCCATTGCTTCATCAATATAGCAAACTTACTATTATGATGGAGAAAATAAAAAGTCCGGCAATGAAAAAGGTTTATTAGCGGCTTCTGGTCTGATTTTGGGGGCTGAAAACCAGCGGTGGTAAGTGCAGAGTAGTGCAGGAAACCAGAGAAAGAGTCCTGACCGCGTAGAGGGGGGGGGGGGGGCTGCACCCCTCACGGGCTCTCAGGGCTCTCTGGGTTCTCGGGGCTCTCTTGGCACTCTTGGCTCTCTGGGCCCTCGGGCACGTCTGTCCCTTGAAGGTTGATTGTCTCTATGGAAACCAGAACAGGGGGTCAGCTGAGTGGAGCTGGTCTCCCACACAGCTGACCACATCTGATGAACCCTCACCTTCAAAATCTGGAGGTATGAGGCTCTCCAGGGGATGATCACCCAGTAACTCTACGCAGGGGTTTAAAAAGAAAAAAAGAAGAGAAAAAACCAAGGTGAGGTTAGTTGAAATTATTCAAATGTTTACGGGCAATTTATTCTCCATCTAACTAACTGCAGCTTTGTTCTACTGTCGTCTTCTCAGGAGCTTTCAGTGATAAACGGCTTTATACAGAGGAGCAAATATTCATGCTTCACTTAATCCTTAATCAAAGGTTTGTGGGCATGTTTTACATAGCCTGGCAGTCCAGCTGTTACATGAAGAAGTTTCCTTTAAGTGTGACTTCTTCCATCATTTTTACGGGGTGTTGCTTAACTTTTTTCATCACTCTTTGAAAATGGTGCTGCAGCTAAAAAAGCCACCGCTTTTTTTTCGCCGTTCCCACCTTTGACCGTCTTGATGTGAGCGGAAGTGAGCGCGATCCTGCTAGCGATGGTGGAATAAATGTGGCGCACGTGGCTCTCCTGCTGCTCCAGCGCCTCCGACAGCATTTGGTTCTTCACGGAGTAATTGTACGCTGGGCGGAAAGACAAAAATCCCAACAACCCATTTTAAAGCGGCCAAAGCGGATAAAGGCAGGCTTTGGCACGCTCCTCCTTACCATAACACAGATTTATAATCCAAAGAAAGAGCAGGATCACAGTGACACAGTTGAAGTGGGAGTCTGGGGGGTTGACCTTCGGCTTCTGGACGCAGGGAGTTAGTGGTCAGACCTGAGGAGCCTCAGACTCCAATAGCCAAACAGTCTATGCGTAGCTCAGGACTTACTTCAGGTTTGGCAGCACTGAGGGACGTTGTGATTTGGTTCTGAAGCATTTTGAAATGCTCGTCCATGTACTCCTGTTGAATGCGAACGCACGTCAGTTGCTTTCATCTACAGTTACAGCCACTGTTCAAAGTCTTATTGCTGTTATTACTGCTATCATTATCATTAGTATCAATCTCATCGCCATTTTTCATCCAGTCTATGTGTTACTGTGTGGGCTGCCTCTCTCTGTCCTTTTCTCTCTCTCTCTCTCTCTCTCTCTCTATCTTGCCCTCTCTGTCTCTCACCCCCAACCGGCCTAGGCAGATGCCTCCCCCCACCCTGAGCCATGGTTCTGCTCCAAGTTTCTGCCTGTTAAAAGGAAGTTTTTCCCTCCCTGTGTCTCCTAGTGCTGTTCTTGGTAAGAATCGTTGGGCTTCTGTAAATAACTCCAGAGTCCGGTCTGACCTGCTCTGTTTGGAAAGCTGGGAGATAACTGTTGTTGTGATGTGGTGCTATATAAAAATATTTAAATGAATTGAAATTCCTCTCCATCCTGGCTGAGCCGGCCTGTTTTGGGTGTTTTTACTCACAGTGAGCTGCCTCTGCAGCAGGCTAGAGGCGTCGGCGGCCCCGCTCTGCCGCTTGCTCTCCAGGGCGCACATGTTGCAGATGTAGCGCCTGGAGGCGTTGCAGTAGAACTTGAGCACCTCGTCCCTGTGCTGCTGGCACTTCCTCTCCCGGAGGTCGCTGAGGGGGGACACCAGGGGGTGTCCCGTGAAGGCCGGCATCTTGAGGTGGTCCTTAACGTGCACTTTGCACAGCGACACTTCGCACTTCAGACACGTTTTGCAGGCCAGGCTGCCCCTTTCTGGGCAGCAGTCGCAGTACACGCACTTTGTCTGCTTTTCCTACGATGGAAAAAAATACTAAATCAGACATGAAGACGCACAGAGCTGGTTTTAAAGTGAAACCACTGCCGGTTAACAGTAGAGATGGAAGCCGGTACCGTTATCATCTTCCGCAACCTGAAGTCGTCTGCAATGTTGCTTAGTGCGTAGCTCTTCTGCACCCCGATGTCCGGCCCAAAGGCTGCCCTGCAGTCCGGGCAGCGGAAGGGGGTGTCGGGGGAGTGGGCCAACATGTTCTCCAAACAGTCCAGACACAGGCTGTGCCCACAGGGCAGCTGCCGGGGGTCCTTAAAGATCTCCTGGCACACCGGGCACATCAGCATTTCCTCAAGCCGGGTGTCCTCTGGGTCCTCCATTCTTAGTCCCTGTACAGCAGAGAGATCAGAGCAGATGTGAACTGGAGAGTCACCCCCGGCCCACCCGGTATCTTTACTTTCTATCCTGAGTTGGCAAAATGTGCAGGAATATCTTCACTTACCTTAAAAAAGAACTTTTGCCCCGCCGGGTTTCCTGGTCTTCCTCTTACACTAAAAGTGAAAGCAATACTGAGCTTAAAGGTATACTTCCCAGTGGGGCGGGGCTTATGTGAAACACTCAAAGGAAATACATAGTAAAAAATGTCATTTGTCGGCTTCCGTAGTAACTGAGTTAACCAAACACGTCAACAAAGCACGTTGTAATTTGAGGAAAAACAACTGGGTTCAGTCGAGAAAAAATAAAAACAGACGTTCCTCATGTATGGCATAATATTAAAAAAATGCTTCTTACCAAGTACTGTGTGCCATCGTAATTGTTAAACGTCCCGTGAAGTGTGTCGGAAACTCTAGCTGACGTCCACAGATAGCGGAGACAAGTCCATACGGCTTCTCATGGACGGTAAACCAGACAAACCGAGACAGAACAGAGGGTCTGATAAGTTAAAAGCTGGTTGTATTTCATCATTAACTCCGTTTACACCCGCCGTTACCACCGCAACGTTCTTTTTCCTGTTTACGTTCAGACAGCCAATCAGAGAAGAGCGTGCCTTCCACCGGGCCCTTCGCCGATCCAACCCAGCGCGGAGCCCAGCAGGACCCCCCGTCTCTGGTCCTCTAAAGTGGATCGGCTGAGGGTATCCGTCTGTGTTCCATCAGACAGACATTTTGACAGTTGTGTGCCGAGATAACACGAAACAAATCGGCCTCTTAAGAAAAACTCTTTAATGATACAACACGTTTTTTAGAACGGTTTAAAAAAGAAAAAATAGCAAACACAAAAAACTTCAGTATAAAGACTATCAAGCCAATATATGCAGAATATAATAAGAAGTATCAAAATCTAAAAACGTTCTTTCAAATAGGAATGTATAAATCTCCTTTTTTTAAAAACAGATTTCTTATAGTATTGTGAGGTATTCTTAGTTACAGTAAGAAAGAAAGCTTTTTTGAAATACAAGATATATATACACACAGACGTATTCAGTAGTCTTCTAGTTAGTACAGACCCCTATCATAAACAGTTGACAGGAGGCTGGCTGCCTGTCCCCCTCCATAAATCTTTGTACCCAAGACAGATAGGACATTACATCAGGTAACAATCTAGAGAAGCATGAACGTCCTGGACACGGCTTCAAGAAGGAGGACGGGGGACTGATCATGCGTCCTAAGGCCATCGATTTTTGGAGTAAAGGCAGAGGTCTGTCTTAGCTGCCTGTTAACATACAGTCTACAAAGTCCAAACGTGAGGACAGAGCAAGTAGCAGATAGTGCAGGAACTACTGGACATCGTTTATTGGGCCTAAACACGTCTAGTATTAAAAATGAGTGGAAAAGCAGAACCTGAGAGGGAGTCCGACGCGGACCATCTGAATCTCTACGATGCCTCATTCGTATTCGCGTTTATATTATGCCTGTCTCCATCAGTAGCCTTTATCATACAAATGAATTCAAATGAGTTTCTTTCTCGAGCATCAAGCTTTTTTTCCTTCTTTTTGTTCATAGGCATCCTTTTTTTATAGGACCAACTCTGCTGCCGTAACAACCGTTTAGAAATCCAAAACAGGTAGATTCATATCAGAATAAGGACAATTTTGGAGCTGAACGTGTATACATGTGTAGGCGTATCCATGTAATAGATACTTCTAACCAGCAAGGGCTCGTTTCATCCAAAGATGAAAACACTAATGAAGCTCTTTGTGGTTCAAGTAATCAGAACTTCCCAGAGAAACGTTTGCTGTTTTACAACAGCTTCAGTGTCACAAATCCCACCATAGCTTTTCCCCTTATTAACTAATAATAAGATGTAACGTTTAGCAAGGAATAAAGATAGAAAAAAGAAAAAGAAAAACACCAGTCTGTGTCTAAATGTCCTCACGTAGCTTGTCAGCTGGGCTTTAGTATCAAACAGAGTTTCTGGAATGACTAAAAGATGGCGTCGTTCAGGCTCTCTGTCCCCGTTCCGCGTCTCCGGTCCTCCGCCTGACCTTTGACCCCCCCCAACCCCCGGCGCGCTCACAGGCCGGCGATGGTTCTGAAGGAGGGGACGAAGAAGCCGCACTGGCTCAGGCTGTGCTTCTCCATGTTCCTCAGGATGCGGAAGGTCTTGCTGCAGGTGGGGCAGCGGTAGGGCTTCTCCCCCGTGTGGAACCTGAGGTGCGCCCTCAGGTTGTCGCGCAGCCGGAAGCTCTTGCCGCACTGCGCGCAGGCGTGCGGCCGCTCGCCCGTGTGGAAGCGCTGGTGGCGGCGGAGGCTCTTCCTCAGGGCGAAGGTCTTGGAGCAGGTGGCGCAGGCGTAGGGCTTCTCCCCCGTGTGGAAGCGCTCGTGGCGCCGCAGCACCTTCCGGCGCCTGAAGCCCTTCCCGCACACGCCGCAGGAGTAGCCGCCGCCGCCGCTGGCGCGGGAGGGGGCGCCGTCCACTGCCGCCGCCGCCGTCTGGAGCCGCCACACCCCGTCGCCGCCCGGCGCGAAGCAGCAAAGGCGCCGGCCCGTGTGCGGGCCCTGGTGGCGGCGCAGGTCTTTGGGGAGGGGCCGCGGCGACCTCTGACCCGGCCGGGCGGCCAGCACGTCCACCAGCCGCACGGCGCACGGCCGCAGCAGCTTCAGGTCCAGCGAGGCCAGCTTCAGCTTGGCCTGGAGGAGGTCGGCGGCGGCCACCCGCCCCCAGGCGGCGCCCCGCGTGGGCGTGGCGGCGCCGTCGGAGGGGGAGGGGCTGTAGGCCGTGCCCTCGGCCGTGCCCGCGCAGGCCGGCCGCGGCTCGGCCTCAACCGGCTTCTCGGGCGACTCCGACTTCAGGATGAGCGGGCAGACGAACTTCACGTCCTCCCCGAAGGCGCCGTCGCCGGGGACGATGACCAGAGGCTTCTCGGAGGCGTTCGGGCTCTGCGCGGAATCCTCGGACTTCGTCTCTGCGGAGATCGCAAAACACAGAGGTGAAGTGTAAACTCATTTTTGGTTAAAAATCCCAAAACTTAGCTTCTTAAAACACACCTGACATATCATTATTGACTTAACAGGAGAAAAAAAAACACCTCTTCGTTCTATGCACCGTTTGGCTAGAAGGGATTCAGGGTGGGTGTGCCTCCACCCCTCACCGTAAATAAACCTGCAACACTTTATCTTCACACACACTTTCACTTCGAGTGGCTCCAACCATGAGGGAGCAACCTGAAGCTGGTCCATCAGAGGGAAGCTTCCCACCATAGAGACAGAATGCATCTAAGTTTTTCCCATGTAAACGAGGGGAGAAAACTAAACAAAAAACAGCCAGGAAACCTCAAAAGTTGCAGCTTCCTGCTTAAAAAAAAAGGAAAAAATCTATGTGTAAAGCATCACACTGGGCTTATCACTGGGCTGATTGGGGGGGGTTGTTTTGTGGGACATTCCCTGTTTCTGCAGAGGGGAGCCTATCTGCCTGCTTCCTTCCCGTTGCACAACCCCTCTCATGGCTGCCCACATTGCTCCTGTTTGATCCGGTAAAACCGGTGGCTCTGGTCCCGTACTGGGAAACGACCTGAAACTCCACAGTCTCTGTGGCATCCCCGAAGATAAGAGCCACCTGCTGCCAGGCCGGCCTTGAATTTCCAGACCTACCGTGTAAAGTATCTTCCGTCGGAGCTCTCTTATCAGCCGGAGCTTCAAGGTTCCTGGACTCCACCGGCTGATTTGAGAGAAAAAAAAACAACAAATGTGGAAAATCGTCCTTGAAGGAAACATTTTTCAGCAGAAGTTTTTTTTTTTTAACAAGATGAGTGCTGCTTAAAAAAAAAGGGGCGGAGGATGAAGTTTTACAGTTTCAGTTCTTGCAAAATGAGCTGATTAAAACCTGTAACCTCTCACTGACCTGTTCCTTTAAAGGTGACCAGTCGGGGTCAACAGGGCCTTCATCGTCGTCCAGCAGGAGCTCTGGGGGAGTCAGCCCCACCACCTCCACCCCCCCGGGCTCTTTCAGACAACCACCATCGCAGAGGAAAGTAGGATCTGTTGAGGGGAAGGAGGGGGGAGGGGTTATCGGAGAGAAAAACATTCCACACTGGGGATTACCCTGCAGGGGACTCTGCACCCAGACTGATGATAGAAAACCCCATCCCAACTCCAATCGATGCCTCAAACTTTCCCCCGTGT